TGATTGTCAAGTACCAGACAATCAATTTGGAAAGGGGTATTGAGGCGAAGTGTGTGTGTGAAAAGGTTTAAAGTTATGATTTTAGCAGCATAATTCCGGCAGGGGGGGAGGAGAACCCTCCCCCCCTTTTATTGATCCCCCGTCCTCCAACTCCACGCCCAACACTCAATCTCTTCTATCAATTATATCCTGTATGAATATCAAGACTCATCTTTCTATCTATCTATCATCTATCTATCTATCTATCTATCTATCTATCTATCTATCTATCTATCTATCTATCTATCTATCTATCTATCTATCTGTCTATCTATCTATCTATCTATCTATCTATCTATCTATCTATCTATCTATCTATCTATCTATCTATCTATCTATCTATCTATCTATCTATCTATATATCTATCTATCTATCTATCCATCTATCTATCTATTTATCTGTCTATTGTGCCCCCAATTATCCAGTATCCCCGATGTATAGAGGTTTTATTTCCCGGCTTTTTATCCTTCATTACCAAACATACGGAGTTACTTAACACAATTTAGTCTGTACTCAGACAGGGGCATTTAGAATAGAAACCATATAGAGGGGGGGGGGTAGAGTCCGCACACAAGGGAAAATGTAAGGAGTCGGACTGGGGCGTCGTTCCTGTGGAAAGATCGTTCTTTTACAGGAACGAACGTAATAAGAACGATGCTATTATCGTTCCAAAACAATAGAACAAACAGATAGAACGAGTTCTTAAAATATTGGAAATATCTATAAATTTACGAACGTGGAATTAATGATAATTGGTTGAAAAGATCGTTCTGGAATCGTTAACGTTAAAAATCATGAACGTGTTCTAAATCAGGAACTCGTTCTTCATCTACAGGGGTTGAGTCTTTGCTGCAAACTAAAATTTTTAAATCCTTCCATCTTTGCAACCTGATGCTGAAAACCTATGCTTTCAAATTTAAACTATAAGTTGATCTAACAGGATTTCTAGATTGAAATACTAAAGGGCTACGACACTGGGTTGCAAAGATATAGGGATTAGATTGGGAACTGATTTCTTGCCACAAATTCTAATATTAAAATCCCTACATCTTTGCATCTTGATGGTGCGAACTTTTGAAATTTAAAACTTAGACTATTTATCTTTCAGAATTTATAGTTTATTTGAGTTTGTGGCAAAGACTCAATTCCTATGGTCTAATTTACAAGGCCAATAGACCCCTAACTTTATGGGAGGTTTTTTTCTAAATCAAAAAGTATGTCAAAAAAATGTTAAAGATCATTTTTTAATTTGACAAATATAGACATGTGACACATCATGACAATTTCCCTATAAGAGGCAAGCTATAAGTTCATTTAGTGTACTGTCCTGTTTTGCCTGAGCCCGAAATTTAAAAGAGTATCGTTGAACGAAACTCTCGAGTTTCCTTTTTGGGGTCTTAACATTTGTGTAGATTTTGATTTAAGAGATTCGAAAAAAATGGAGAATATGAAGAAACTAAATAAAATAATATTTTATAACAAAAATATTGATATCCACAAAACTGCCTAAACCCATTCGAAAACCCCGGGTTTTAAAACTGGTTTTTATATCGATACCCTGTTCAAGTTTTGGGCTCTGGTATGATCTTTATGTGTACTGTTGTTGTCGGATAGCTGCAAGATTCTCAATAATGAACAGATAGACAACGGGATAACCCACAAATCAAAACCGATAAACTCTTTATTTCCTAAAAAATTAAATGAATAATAACATATAAATTATTACAATGATTTATAATTTTTATAATGAAAAGATTCTTACGATCTATTTAAGGATATGTAGGTTAAAACCGTCGGGGAGACGTTTTTATACATTAAAACTTCTGAAAAGAATGACAATTAATTATTAACGAAAGTCACTAATTCTTTATGTGAAAATATTCTTTGCTCACAACAATAAAAGTGTGACTCCGTTACCGGAGAACAAAGAAAACGGGGCTGAAATTGTTTGGTTTGGTGTCTCCAAGAGGGAATTTTAAGTTAAAGACGACATTACATGGATGGACGGAGAGATCTTATAGTTTATGGTTGACAACTGTACAGCTTTCTCTATATCTGGTTAGATGTCGGCCCGATTATTGAAGAACTGGCGCTGTGGGATGAACCGTGCGCAAGGTTAAAGTGCCCAAATGGAAGCTTAACCGGACTTTACAATGACATGTTTGTGTACCAAAATAAATCTAAAATATTTTTGTTTTTTAAATGATATTGCTTGAAAATTTGCTAAATTCTTGCCTATCAATGCTTTGAATTTGGTTTGGTTGTTGTGATGGGGAATTTTTAAGGCTGTGTCTGTGACTTTCGATCACAATATTTGACTTACATAAACAAAAGATGTTCGCTTTTTACTTTTTTGTCAACGAATGTCTTTTAAATGAAAAGCAGGAAAAAGACAACTCCGTAAATCTAAAGATTGTTGAAATTTATACAAAATCTTTTCTTAAAAAAAACTATAGATGGACAAACAGATTATAGACCATGGAAACTGAATGCATCTCGGCCTGGTTAGTCCAGGGTGATCTACAACCTTTGTCTGAAAACCTGTCTGAAATCAAAGACGATATTTACGTTGTCTGCCAATTCCCCATACATAGATAAATAAACATAGATATAGGTTATGTATGCAAAATCACCCAGGAATTGTACAGTCTTGGTTCAGTCCGTTAACTCACACTTCTAGGGGTCAAAGCGTACATCAATTAAATCATTCTCCGGGATAAAGTGTAAATTAACTTAATGAATGGAATTATTTGAAGAACAATATTTTAAGAAGCAATTTATCATAGTGACAAGAATTGGAGAAGGACTAAACTAACCTAAATCTAAATATAATTCTGCAGAACTCATGTACAGTGTACATTGTACACCGCATGTATTCAATGATATAAGTACAGCCAATGTTTACAACCAACCTAGGTAATCTTTAAGTTTGTAATATATTTCAAACATCTCTGTTCATTTATATCTGGTAAGTTGAAAAATGTCGTCTTATGCGCAATCTATCTTTATCTATGGCCAATTCCCATGTTTATTGGAATGCTATGTAAAACAAAATGATAGTAATATTTGTGTTAATGGTTTGAGGCACTGAACACAGGAAATGGTAAATAGAGACAATCAAGTATTTAATATACTTTACGTTTATATGTCGGTTAATATTACAAATATAGCAAAGAAGGGAGGGGGGCTATTAATATTTTTTTAAATTGTAAAAATTTTAATTTTTATCTTCCTTTTAACAAATTCTCAAATATGAAAAAAACAAATCAAATTATTAAAACTTGAAACAATGAGATTATTTATATTGTTTAAGCTGGTATTTTAAACCAAACGAAATATATAGTTTACACATAGTTCAGTTATTGAATAACAGTGAAACTGCCATGAACTTTAAATGACTATATGTACAGGGTGTCCCACGAAACATGACAGTAGTGAGACGTCTTTGAAATAATTTATGGCATCTGTTCGTAAACCAGATTTTAGAAGTCAAATTCTAGAGTTAATAATCACAAAAAACCAATAGTCTTGGCATTTCCAAAATGGGGTCTGCCTTTCTTGTGCTTTCGATATTGCCGGAGATATGAAGAATTTTGAAATCTGATCGAAATTCTTAATTTCTCCTGTAATATTGACAGGAATAGGAGAAATGTTTGGTTATTGTTTCAAATAAAAATGTTGACGACTGAATGTCTCAAATAAATGAAAAGATCAAAGACGACTTTCAACTCGTATTGCTACTCTCATGTTTAGGGGGACACCCTGTAGTTGGCGTTGCCCGCGTAATTTTAAAATTGTCCAACACTCGGCAGAAGAGAAAATTAGCTGATTATTTAGGGAACCCATGGGTACTATATAAGGGGTAACATATGGCTAAAAAAAATTATTTCAAAGTGTTAAAATTCCATTTGCAACACCGGGTACTTCAGCTAGTATAATACATGTTTATTTCATTGCTCTGTTTTATATAAGATTTATTATTTTCTGTAATTCTCCTGTCACAACTTCAGTGATTCCCATAAAACTGTGGTATATCAACCTTTTAATGTATTTGATATAGTTGTAAAGGAAATAGTTTTATCAGTAGCTCAGAAATATAATTGACAAAAATTGTTTCAATGCACACTGTAATATCGAAGTGTTTCAGTACACGCTGTAATATCGTAGTGTTTCAATACACGCTGTAATATCGTATTTTTTCAAGGCACACTGTAATATCGTAGTGATTCAATGCACACTGTAATATCGTAGTGTTTCAATACACGCTGTAACATCGTATTTTTTCAAGGCACACTGTAATATCGTAGTGATTCAATGCACACTGTAATATCGTAGTAATTCAATGCAGGCTGTAATATCGTAGTGTTTTAATGCACACTGTAATATCGTAGCGTTTCAATGCACACTGTAATATCGTAGTGTTTCAATGCACACTGTAATATCGTAGTGTTTCAATGCACACTGTAATATCGTAGTGTTTCAATACACGCTTTAACATCGCATTTTTTCAAGGCACACTGTAATATCGTAGTGATTCAATGCACACTGTAATATCGTAGTGATTCAATGCAGGCTGTAAAATCGTATTGTTTTAATGCACATTGTTTTATTCAAAATCATATTTCGTCGTTTTAAGGCTGATTTACCTTTTATTAAAAAATTTCTAAAGTAAACCTTTTAACGTTATATTCATGAATTTGAAACTATTTGGTTTCCTGTGTTCAAAGAACCGACATCCTATAATGATTTTTTTATTGTTTAATTGTTTATTAAGTTTTATAAACAAAGATTTCAGTCATTGGTGGATTAAAAGGAATTATTACTTATTCACACTAGTGCATGTATCATTATTCATTACAAGATTATTAATTAATTTGATTGCCTAGAATTTTCTAGATTTGTTACCCCCCCCCCCCTTACTTCATTTTCATATACACCTAATTTGGTAACATTTTTATATTTTAGATATATATTTTTCCGCCATAACCAATATGCTTCATTTTCTTTTATGTTAAAGTACGTATAGCTTAAGATGTTGAAAAAAGAAAATCCGCACCACTGTTGGATATCAAGGTAATGATTTCATCTGTTTTTTAACGCTTTTTTAATTTGATGGCATTAAAAATGCAGGGTTACTCACAAAGCATAAGACTTTGAAGACGACCCGAAACTCTTTCAATATATCACCCTGAAATTTAAAGAGGGTTTGCTGTAACTGTATATCTTTTAATGGCATAAAAAATTGGTGAAAAGTTTTGAATGTCTTCTTCCATATCAAGTCTTATAGATTTAAGAATTTTTGCAGTTTATTTTGCTAAATAATCTTTTACTCAATTATATTTTGCTTTGAAATCAACTTTATTATAATAATACTGCCAAGCAATGTTTTTTTTTATTCTCTTTGGTATAAAAGAACTTAACAAATCATGGAAGAAGACATTTAAAACTATTCACCAATTGTCATGTTTCCTGGGACACCCTGTATTCACCAACTGTCATGTTTCCTGGGACACCCTGTATCTTCCTTTGTGGGTAACTCTGTAATTTAAATTTAAAAACATCATTTGAAGGCTGCGAAATGTTTCTCTTTATTGCTACTAAAAGGCCTTTGATAATAAAGGTTATTCAAAATCACTTTTGCAGTGCAATCTCTTTAATCCAAGACTAAAAGATATTCACACAGTTAGTGTGCTTTCAGTTGGTTCGTTTCTCGATCGTTTTTTGCCTATATTTGGTATAATGTAAAAATAAAATTTGTTCTCTAATTCTTTATTCTAAATTCTAATTATTCTAAACATTTGCCTTTAATTATGTTGATTTTGACCCTGGCAGAAGATGTATACCAAAAACGACCAAAAACGACCAAAAACGACCCAAAAAACGGTCGAATAAAACGATTCAAAAACGAACGCGTTGTAACGATAGCTTTTTATCGTTTTTTCCATTTATATTTTTAGGGTACATAAATTGCAAAGTTTAGTAAAAGTAAACTTTAACACTTTTGAATTCTATTGAATGTTTACTAAAAGTGACCCAAACCAATTAACCACACAGTGCAAACACAACAAAGATGATTGCTCTTTTACATAACCTTAAAAAATGTATTTTTAAGAAAAAAAGAGAAAAAAGTACATTTGTATAGTGTATTTCTAGAAATATTTCGTATTTGTTTATTGATGACGTCATAATCATGTGTAAACATAGTATTGATGTTTGGTAGATTTACTTGTTTCTATAAATCTCAGAAAGATAAGAATAAAGAGAAATAAAAGAATTATAAAAATGCGTATTGATCAAAATAATTTAAAAATGTCAGCTATGCCCTTGTTCAGATTAAACAATTTTATTTTTACTATATTGTATTTTTAAGATTTTTAATTAAATCACTCTAGAATTTCCTTAATAATTTACAGTGTGTAACATCATATTAGATCTTTTATTGAAATTTAAGGGAGGACTAATCAAAATTTGAATGAATCCTAAAGAAATGTATAAGTCTAATATATATATTTTCTTTAAGAAAACTAAATAGGAACCTTTTTTATGAACCTTCAATTATTTTATTTTAAGAGGTTCCACAAGATTATTACTTGTTAATTCTGTTTTAAAATGGTATGCTCAAAAAAGAAATTGAATCTTTGTCATAAACTCTATGCAGCCTAATGTCGTACATTCATGCAGGGAATTCAGTGACGAATTCGATATCGTCTTTGTTATGAATTAGCAATGTAATACCTAATTTCAAAAGTCATAATATCATTATGTCTGCTATATTTTATTTTATGAAAACGGCAAGGGCTGTCAAGATCGATGTGTCTATATAATGTCTTCGCAAGATGAACAGTGTAGACGGACAAGTTTACTCTGTTAGTATACTGCAATTTTCTTGCTTTACTAAGTAAAACTGTATGCAGTCAAAGTACAAACAAAATAAGTAAACATAACAGACTAAAATCTTATGGCCTACAGCTTTCTCATTAGGTATCACTATACTAAATCAAAGAATTGTTTAAAAAGACGATATCGAATTCGTCACTGAATTCCCATTTTTATTGGGACACCTTGTATGAAATAGGTATATCATCAGGTTGCAAAAATATATGGATTAGAAAGTTTGAGTTTGTGGCAAAGACTCAAATTCTTTGATAAATTCTTTTTTAAAAAAACTTTTAAAATTAATATAAGAAAAAAACAAATATCATGGACACAAAACATCTCAGATTTGTTAAGTCCATTTAGCAGAATAAACAGTATATCGCGAACCTTTTTTTAACTTGAAGAATCATGAAAACTGGAGACTTGATAAGTATTGCAGTAAACAGATAAAATCGTTACAAGAAAAGGGGGCACGAACAACATATTATAGAAATGTGTTGAACATTTTTCTAAATTCTTGAATGAGGGAAGTTTCTAATAAATGACCTGACAAACCATTACCTGCATTGGTTTATGGGAAACAAAAAAAAAACTATTACATTTACGTAGCAGTTTATTTTCTAACAGAATTTATGCGCGAAAGAAATCCTGCACACTAGAGTGCTCAAATTCAAACTTTCATTAAGAATTCATACTTGAAGTTGTGACTTATATGCACATTCGTGTTTTTCAAGATCTGACTCATCTTATGAATTCAATTTGAAGTAAACTCAAGGTCAGATATAACAACAAAATCAAAAATATATTTATTAATTTGTTCAAAAAATATTTTTTTAGAGTTTAGACATTTAGATTTTTTATTTGATGAATAAAATTATAAATCTGAATTTCTCTGATCAAATCAAAATGATTTAGAAATAAATAAATCTAAATCCACAAACTAAATCTAAATCCACAAGCTAAATCTAAATCTCCACAAGCTTAATCTAAATCCACAAGCTAAATCTAAATCCACAAGCTAAATTTAATTTCTACAAGCTAAATCTAAATCCACACGCTAAATTTAAATCTAAATCCACAAGCTAAATCTAAATGTTTGATTAATCTGTGATATGTATGTATCATCAATAAGCATTTAGATCTCAAAAAATATTACAAGTTATGAATATGTACATGTTTGCGGATTGGTTTTTAGAAAGAAAAAAAAAACAATTTTAATTCAAATTAAAAAATACAGCTATGTAGGAAAAATTCTGAGATGTGATCTAAAACATTAAGATCATAAAAAATTTCTTTTTGAATTAAAAGAAATAACTCAAAAGGGTTCTTAAATCGTGTTTTTCATCTTTGAGAATGAGATGTTACAAAAATATTTAACATTAATTGTACTTAATACTCTGTAAAAATAAAATAAAAACGACAAACGGTCTTAAGTTACAGAGGTAATCAGAAAAAGTTGATTTCAAGCTGTTGTCGTTCTATCGTTACATCAAGAAATGGTCAAAAATGATGTTAAGGAGTTGATTCTTTGCCACAAACTCTGATTTTTTAATCCCTATATCTTTGAAACCCAATGTTGTAAACCTTTAATATTTCAAACTTATATTATCTGATCTAATAGAACTCATAGTTTGAAATATCTAAGGTCTACGACATTGGAATCTAAAGATATAGGGATTAGAAAATCAGAGTTTGTTGCAAAGACTCAATTCCTTTGTAATTGTATAAGTTATAACTGTCAAGTTTTATTTCATCGAAATTGTCAAAACCTTTTTTTGCACCAGCAAAATATTATACAGTAGTAACAAATTAGAAGCAACTTTTATGAGAGAAAAAATTTGAAAAATTAGATAACGATTTAAAAACCGCGGAATACCGTCCGTTTGTATGTTTTTTGATATTGCAAAATCGTGATTTTCATGTTAAAACCCTGACACGGCTGGGGTGGAACGGGAAAAAGAGTTTTACCCCCATTTTGATTTTTTATATCTTTATTGAATAACTTCATTTTGATTGATTAAAATTCAAAATTCTTAAAAATCCAAATTAAAGGAATCTAGCTCTAGTCTCTAGTTGTGTTGCTCACAAGGGATTAGAAAATTTGAGTTTGTGTCAAAGATTTAATTCCTTTCTTCAGGAGGAAATTCACCCAATTTTCTGGGATTAAGTCTCATCTGTCTCGGGAAAAGGGTACTGTTGTGAATCGGACAGGCCACTCTACAAATGGTAGGTCACTAAAGAATAACTTCTACTTTAATTCTAGAATGTCAAGTTCTGAAGGTGAGCAGGTGCCTGAAGAAAGGAAAGATGGGGCCCAGGTCCAGGATAACCGTCCTTTTACTCTTGTTCACAAAACAATCAAGAAAACTGTAAACGTAAGTTACTCAAAGTTAAATTGCAAAAAATTGATATTAATTAACTATCCAAAAATGTCGTCTTTGTTCTTCCTGGCTGTTGTACTGGAAATTGTTTCAACTGATATATCTTTAAACAAGTTTAGGGCATTGCATTTTAACAACTCTTTGTTTTTAGGGATATCAAAGGATTTTTCCAAATTTTATTTTTCGAAATGGAAATCGGATTTTTTCCATGATGGAAGCTGGGACATATAACTCTTTAAAGAGAGTGTTCGCGAAAAAGGAAGATGAAATGGGGCTTTCGTAAAAAAAATTCGATGGTGATTGCTACTAATCTTACTTCTAGCTGTGCTTCTATAAGGAGAAAATTGGTAAAAACGACTTATACCGAAGAACGTAGCGTCCATACAAATTCAGAAAATTGCAATATTCGACTCGGGTCGTTAAAAACAAGTTGTAAGCAAAATATTAATTTTAAAAAAAGGTTATGAAATAAAAATGCGCTTAAAAATAAATCGATGATTACAGATTGCAATATCTGAATGATTTGTTTGTAATTAAATAATTTTTTTAACGATCCAAGTCGTATATTGCTTTAAATTTGTATGGACGCTACGTTCTTCGATATGAGTCTTTTTTAACAATTTTCTCCTTATAGACGTCACGGATAGAAGTAAGATTTGGAGCAATCACCAACGAATTTTTTGCGACGTAACCCGACTTTCATTTTTCGCGAACACTCCATTTAAATAATGCAACCTGAATTTAAAAAAAAATATTTTTAGATGGAGGTCGGAGGGTTATTTAGATTTTGTTTGACAATTCATTTTAAATTTTAAGGGAGTTACTTCTGTGAAACAAGTAACAGAAAAGGTGTTCATGGATGGAACTAGAGAGAAAGTGAAGGATCAGGTAGACAGAGTAGACCCCCTTTTTTAGTTTTTGAAGAAAAAAATGTACGAAAGTAGTTTTTCAGATGTTTAACCCTATCACATGGGGCTGTTTCTCCTCCATCATACTTTGCTTGTCTGTCTGTCTGTCTGTCAGGGTATTTGTATCCAATAAAAGTTAAAACGGCTAAACAGATCGGGCCAAAATTTTGTGCAGGACCTCATGTGACCCTAGAGAAGGTTTATGAATGATGAGTTTCACAGATAAAACCACATTTAAAAGTTGAAATAGAAGATGGGCGCGAAGCACCCTAAAAGCCTAGTAACTTTAAAACGGCTTACACTAGTACACTCAAACTCCACTTTTTCAACTACATAGTCGTAAAAAAATTTAGCAAAAATCAAAAACAAATAATGGGATGGTGAAGGACGGTCAAACGCTTGTCGGTGTTTTAAACAAATCAAAAATAGTCCACAACTTTTTTATTAATTAAGCTACAGATCTTAAATTTATTTATTTGAAAAGTCCTTGAAAAATGGATGTATAATATGTTAGTATTTGTCAAAAGGAACACCAAGCATTTTTCAACATTTGTCCAATGTACTTTTTGAACCTATTTGAAACCTCCCTAATAGCACCCTTACCATTAAAGTTAAAGGTCTAATTTTTGAACCTATTTGAAACCTCCCTAGTAGCACCCTTACCATAAAAGTTAAAGGTCTAATTTTTGAACCTATTTGAAACCTCCCTATTAGCACCCTTACCATTAAAGTTAAAGGTCTAATTTTTAAACCTATTTGAAACCTCCCTATTAGCACCCTTACCATTAAAGTTAAAGGTCTAATTTTTGAACCTATTTGAAACCTCCCTAGTAGCACCCTTACCATTAAAGTTAAAGGTCTAATTTTTGAACCTATTTGAAACCTCCCTATTANGTAAACACCATCCCTCCCTCATCAGGCCCCCCATCACCTTCTATATATTAGAAAAAAATAGCCCAGTCGGTGTCCGAAATTAATGAATTTTATCCCCAAGAAACCGGTTTCAATTGAGCGCTGGCTTAAATCTTGAAAAATTGAAAACAATTTTAAATGGAAAGAACCATATTTGAGCCGCGGCTCAAATTCTTTAAATTTGATCTCGGGATACGTTGTCTTTAGAATTTGTTTTACAGTGTTTCTATGCATACAAGATGATTAATGATTTGTGGGACTTGAAAAAAAATGAATGATTTTATTTTTTCAATTGAATCCAGGAGTTCGGAGACATGAAGGAGAAAATGAGAAAGGAAATGGAAGAAGAATGTAGGGAAGGACAAACTAAGAAAATTATATTTCAAATCCAAATTTTGTATTCCCAAAAATATTTTAGTTTGCCCCTTTTTATTGATCATTTCTTTAAACCAAGGTTTTACTTGGCTAAACAAAATTTAGACTAAAATTTTTCCAAGATTTTCAAATTTTCAAAAGTCGTTACTTTTTAACTTATTTTTCTGTTATTGCTTAAACACCCTGTACCTTGTTACTTTTTGAGGTTTGGATCATAATCAAAAGAACAGCAAATTTTAAGTGAACTACATTTAAGTTAAATACATTTAAGTGAATTACATCCTTAAAAAGCTTAAAACTCTATTTTTTCTATCTTTGACTAAAAGTGGGGGAAAATTTATTGAAAATTGCTTTAGCACCGCCTTAAATAATTTGTAATTGTTATTGTGCTCAAGGTTTGAGAAGTTAAAAGATGGTTCTAAAACTAATGGAGATCTTGAACAAGAAGGGAGGAAGAATACAGGAAAAGGTGACCCCCCCCCCGTTCCCCCGTATCACTACAATTAAAAAGTTTTCCAAGAGATGACAAAAAAAAGCGTTTTCAAGATCAATTTTGCAACCCTATAAAAATTCAATTTAAACTTTGGCAGTTGCATTTCTTAAAAAATTTCTTAATTTTAATAAAATTTCCGAAAAAAATATTTTTGAAAAGCATATTTATTAATTCTTTTAATAAAAGATTTTAAGACAAATTTGTATATCTAAAGTTTAGTTAATTCTAATTTTCTTTAATGAAACACTTTTTAGGATCTTCATCTGATGTTGGCACTAAATCAGCGGGTTCAAAAGAAAAACAGGTTTAAATTTTTCCCGTTTATAATAAAAAAATCTTTAAACATTTTTTTAACTGTTTTTTGATAATTAATGATTTTCAGGCCAACTCTGGTTCAGACTCAAGCTCCGATGAGGACAAAGAATCTGAATCAAATGAGGTAAAAATCAGTTTTATAAAAGTAGCTTTCAAATCACAAAGTAATAGCTTCCGGAATACATTCTGGAAATCTGTTCATATATGGTCCGAAATGTAAAACATTTAATTTGAAGTTTAAATTTTTTTTTCAAATGTTTGCGCAGGATGATAAGTTTGCAAAGAAGAGCTTGGAAGAACACAACAAGTTCAGACGTAAACATGGCGTTCCTCCCCTCACACTTAATAAGGAGGTAAACACGGTGTTCCTCCCCTCACACTTAATAAGGAGGTAAACACGGTGTTCCTCCCCTCACACTTAATAAGGAGGTAAACACGGTGTTCCTCCCCTCACACTTAATAAGGAGGTAAACACGGTGTTCCTCCCCTCACACTTAATAAGGAGGTAAACATTGAGTTCCTCTTCTCACCCATAATAAGGAGGTAAACACGGTGTTTCTCACCTCACCCTTAATAAGGAGGTAAACACGGTATTCCTGCCCTCACCCTTAATAAGGAGGTAAACATTGAGTTCCTCTTCTCACCCATAATAAGGAGGTAAACACGGTGTTTCTCACCTAACCCTTAATAAGGAGGTAAACATGGTGTTCCTTTTCTCACCCTTAATAAGGAGGTAAACATGGAGTTCCTCTTCTCACCCTTAATAAGGAGGTAAACATAGTGTTTCTTCCTTCACCCTTAGAAAGGAGGTAAAGATAAAAAGAATTATGGGAATATAAAAATTTGTAAGATATTCCGAACGAACACTCTGATAATTTTCGCACATAATGCAAAATGTACATATGCTTTTATTGGGTGAGTTCGATATTATGAACCAAATGTTAAGTTTTTTTCAACAGTAGCTTTCAAAGAATTGGAATAAAAAGGGGGGATGGAAACTTTTGAATGAGATAAAGCCTTATGAGTACTTTGACTCATTTTTCATTCTTTAGACACTTTCTAATAGAACAAAACTAAAAGTTATTGTAATTGAAGACTTTGGAATAAAAAATCTAGTTTTTTAGTCTTTAGTCATTAATTTTGACTCTTTTTGATTCTTTTAAGTCCCAAAAAAAAATTCGCCTGCGCCACGATTTTTTGTTCCTAATTATTAATTTTTTGGTTCCTAAAAAATCTTGCCCCACCTCACTTAAATCCTGTATCCGCCCCTGTGTAGTTTCAATTTGATTAAATAAATTTTTGAAATTAGGGCTTTCCAAATAAAAAAAGAGAAAAAATATGCAAAATGATGCACAAATAGACGACATTGATCATTACTCATTGCAACATACTGATCATCATTAATTTATCTACCTGTTTTCTGGTCATTTGTAGAGAAAAATTTAAAGAACGCACAAATGTAAATAAGTAATAAAGTTAATGAATATTTACTAAACCATTATTTAATAATAAATGTTAATTAGATGTGTATGTATTCTCAAGAATGGGCCGAATATTTGATTGCAGAGAATAGGTTTCAGCACAGGTAAATTCTAAAGGCACTGTAGTCTGTAAAATTAATCTTAAAGGGACTGTAAACTTAATTTTAATGGGACTGTAAACTTAATCTTAAAGGGACTGTAAACTCTATTTTAAAGGGACTATAAACTTAATCTTAAAGGAACTGTAAACTTAATTTTAAAGGGACTGTAAACTGAATCTTAAAGGGGCTGTAAACTTAATTTTAAATGGACTGTAAACTTAATTTTAAAGGGACTGTAAACTGAATCTTAAAGGGGCTATAAACTTAATCTTAAAGGAACTGTAAACTTAATTTTAAAGGGACTGTAAAATCTTAAAGGGGCTGTAAACTTAATTTTAAATGGACTGTAAACTTAATTTTAAAGGGACTGTAAACTGAATCTTAAAGGGGCTGTAAACTTAATCTTAAAGGGACTATAAACTTAATTTTAAAGGGGCTGTAAACTTAATTTTAAAAGGACTGTAAACTTAATCTTAAAGGGACTGTAAACTTAATCTTAAAGGGACTGTAAAAAAATTTTAAAGCACTGATTTATATCGTTCATTCTTATTTTTAAAATTTTTAAATATAATAAAATATGATAATGTAATTTTTGTTTGTAGAACTGATCATAAGTATGGAGAGAATATATTTACAAGTTGGTCTAGCAGACCTAAAAAACCAGATCCTAAAGTTCCAGTCCAGGTGTGAATGAGTTAATTTTGAATATAAATATTATCTTAAACCTTTCCCGAATGGGCTATTTTTGTCTAATATGGATGGGGGGGGGGTACCCCCCCCCCCCGTTGATTTTGCTCATATAGAGTTGAGATAGTGGAGTGTGATACATACGGCCCTAGTCCAAATTTTCAAGGCCTGTTAATTTTAAACAAATTAGACCTCTGACTTTAATTGTTAGGGTGTAAGGGAGGATTTTAAAATGTATGTCGAACAGGCTGATTATGTCGAACAAATTTTCAAAATTATTATTTTTACTTTAATAAATATTAACACAGACACATGTTACTATATATCCATTTTTATCCATTTGTTAAGGCCTTTTCAAATACATAAGTTTAGCGGTGTAGCGTAATTAATCCATTTCTGTTTTTTAACACCGACCCGCCGTTTGACCACTCTCCACCCTACCCTATCCGTAAAAAAAAATGGCAAAAGTTGTTCACAACTATGATGTTGAAAAAGTGAACCTTCCCTAACCGTGATAGGGTTTTCGGTTATGGCCGTTTTAAAGTAATTTTTTCCTTTTATGTGTTGCTTTTCGTAACTTCAAGCCACCCTTTCGATTTTTTTTCACAGATTTTTCATGAACGAATTTCCGAAAAAAACAGGGTTACCAAGAAAGAATGAGACTTAAGAGACGACTGTAGTGAACTTAAATTGTCTATTTCTTACATTCATCATTCCATGCAATTAAACTTTATTTCTGCCACCAAATCATTAAATGAGCCATTTAAAGACCACATTAAAGACGAAAAATTTAATTTTAACTTAAGATTGTAAAAATTTTAAGCTTTCAGTCTCATCTTATGTTGGTAAACCGGCGCATTGCAAATTGCAACAGATTGAGATAACAGAAGTTGCTAAAATGTTTTTTTAGTTCGGTAATTTACGGGTATATAAAGATAGAATTTCATATTTCTACCATGATAAAATAAATTGATTTTAGTTTCTAACCGATGTAAAGACGATATTTTCCGTTTAGAGCTGGTATGATGAAATCAAAAAGTATCAGTTTGGGTCGGAACCTCAATCATCAGGAACTGGTAAATATTTTTTCTTCTTCAAATTTTATCTATTTCCTAAGGTTTATGGCTTGGAGTGTGTTGAGACAACTTGAGATAATCTCTATATTTAAAATTAAAAAATTACCATTATTCAAATTTTTTCCTATCTGAACATTTTAATTTTCTGCTAACTGTATATACATGACATGCACATTTTGTAATGGGACAGACCGGCTATGTAAGGTAGTTGAATTAAGTATGCAGTGTTGTGGAAAGCTTCTTTAGGATTCATTTGAGACAAATAAAACTTTTTAAAGATCTGTAAATCCTGAGTTCGAGCACAAATTCGACGTTCAAAACTTCTACTTTGAGGGGTGGATACGTTTCCAGAATCGGTTTTTTTAAAATTATCAAATAAGGACGACGAAAAATAAAGTAAAAATCAAACAGTAATCTAATTAGATGGTTGGGAACATATTTCTCAAAAGAAATTTGTCAATAAATCAATGCCAGAATCAATTATTTCGTTTTCATCAGTATATATTAGATTTCTAATTTTCTTTGAATTTATTCGCAGATTTCTTCAAATGTCGTCTTTTCAATAATAATTCCAGAAAATCTTTGTAAATAATGAGAAACTAGAATAATGAGAAAATTGAAACTAATAATTGAACAAGATTACTTATTTTCGATGATAAAATTAATTTTTATTTTCTCAACCGGTTCCTAAACAAGTAATTAGTTTACTGTTGAGTTTTGTTTACATTTTTGTCGTCGTTATTTAATAATTTTTAAAAAACCAATTCTGAAAGCGTATCCACCCCCAAAGTAGAAGTTTTGAACGTCGAATTTGGGCTAAAACTCGGGATTTACAGATCTTTCCACAACACTGCATACTCAGTTTAACTACCTTACATAGCCGGTCTGTCCCCTTTAAAAGATAAAATAACTTTTTAGAACTATATATATATTGGTTCGCAATGAATTGCAGTTTTTGGACAGAAATTTTCTCTTTATCCAGATAGTTCAAGCCTTTTTAGACTAAAAGGGATTCTCTAAAAATACGAGAGCTTCAAAGATACAGAGAATAAAATCCAAAACATTTAAAGCATATAGTGCCTGCAAAATAATAGTGTTTTAGGTATTTATTTTGGATTCTGCCTCAGGGTTATTGTGAAAAGACAACATCTAATGTCCTATCTGTTATCGTCAGTTAATCTTCGAGTTTTACAAAATTAAAAACATAAAATTTTGAAATATCTTATAGGTCACTTCACCCAAGTGGTTTGGAAGGAAAGTTCAGAGCTAGGAGTTGGTGTCGCAAGCAAGGAAACATTTCAGTATTTTCATTTTATTCAATTCTGAAATAGGAAGACGACTTTTGGACTGTTTTGAGTTTAAGTAGTCACAGCAATTGTGCAGTGTACACAATTTTCAAACTACTTGTTAAATGATTTGCTTTCTGACAACATCAAATAAATCTGTAAAGCACAAGTTTGTTTTACAGCCGTTTGAGGAAAAAATTATAGAATATTTGGCTATTTTTTTCTTTTGAATTTAAATCCATTATTAAAAATACATCGCTGCTGTTATCAAATACATTTATTTCTAAAAAATCACAATTTAGGTGAAGCTATTCATTTATAGACAGGGTGTCCGAATCACTAGGGTACTCTAAAAATCATTGCCAAATCAAGAATAAAAAAGATATTTATGTGTTTCACTTTGAGAAATAGTTTCAATTGTAATTACTTTACTACAGGGGCGGATACAGGATTTAAGTGAGGGGAGTGCTAGATTTATTTCGGAACAAAAAAAAGTGGCATAGGCGAAATTTTATTTTAAGATTGATATTTTTTCCTGTTTTGCACTAGCTTTTCTTTCCCTTTAGTGCTATTGAGAAGCTATTATGAAATCTCAGGGGGTGCGATAGTCCTGCGGCCCCCCTTACTTTACTAAGATACTTGCGCATTTCTGCTGCAAAAACAATATCACAAAACTATTAAAATTAAACACTTTTCAAGCTTCAACAGTTTTGATTAGATAAGAATGATTTTACAACGACATTATTTTTATAAATATCCATTTTTATTTGATACAATAAAACAAAACTGATTGATTGATTAGGACGGGAGAGTAATAGTGGTCGCCAACTATAATCCACCAGGTTTGAGTAATAACAATAATAATAAAAATAATAATGATCATATTTGCATAAAAAATAGACAAGACCCTCTATATAAAGTTTAAGAGGTAAGAGAAAAAATAAGATTATTTCATTGGTAATCAACAAGAAAGTGCTTCATCAAATGTTAAAAAGTTCCGGCACTAAAAATCTTAAAATGAAATAAATGGAAGATTAATTAAATACTTTGGTTTCCAAATTTCACTAAAAGATCCTTAAAAAATGCCCAGAAATCCAACACCATAGAACCATATTTACAATTTGTGTTTCTATGGACTTATGGATACATAATTTCAAAATTTTGTAGAAATTGGTTTCCCATGACTTTATTGCATATATATTGCATTTAATTTGTATTTAAAGCCAAATTTTCTAGGCACCCACCGGCCATATATTCACATCAATAAAAAGTTTATTTTTAGGAAACTTCATGGGAAAGTTCTCGAGGAATGTTCCAGCCCCCTTGTAAACTATGGGAATGTACAACACACACTGATGAGTGCACACGAAATGTACTTCTAATTCTGAGCCCGAAATTTAAGAAACCTGTTATCTAAAGTTAAAAACCCATGTTTCGTGAATGAGTTAAGAAAATTTTGCAGATATCAAATCTTTTGGTTCAGCATATTATTTAATTTGAATGATAAATCTTATCATTTTCTAATTCTTACATTAATATCTACAAAATGTGTAGACCGCAAAAAGGAAACTAGGGAGAATTCCATTCAACGATATCCTTTTCCGCCTTTAGGTGGAATGATAACCTACTCTACCTGTGTACTGTACTGTACTGTACTGTACTGTACTGTACTGTACTGTACTGTACTGTACTGTACTGTACTGTACTGTACTGTACTGTACTGTACTGTACTGTTCTGTACTTTACTGTACCATACCATCGTAAACTTATCTGCACATTTTCCTTCAATAATTCTTTGAATAATTAGCAGCACATTAAAGTATTAAACCGAATTTACACACCATTGAACTACACTCTCTCTATTGCACAGCACAGCCCTGTTAATGTAAAAAATTGAAATTTATTTCCCAGAACAATTTTAAGATGGTATGTTTTTTTTTATATGAAGAGATTATTTATCATGATTCAGTTTTTTCACTGTTTATTATAAAATATTTTGTATGCTGGCTGTTACCATAAATACTGTATTGACATGATATATCTACATCTCTTTCTTAATTAAGTATTATTACTTTCATAATATTACAATTTCATAATATTATTTTTACATTTAAAAACAATTAGAATATTTACATGTGCAGTTTGATACATTACAATAAAGACTTTTGAATTACACTGAGTTTTTTAACCTCACTAAGTATATAAAACGTATTTATATTTTTAACCTCACTAAGTATATAAAACGTATTTATATTTTTAACCTCACTTTGTATATAAAACGTATTTATATTTTTAACCTCACTATGTATATAAAACGTATTTATATTTTTAACCTCACTATGTATATAAAACGTATTTATATTTTTAACCTCACTATGTATATAAAATGTATTTATATTTTTAACCTCACTATATATATAAAACGTATTTATATTTTTAACCTCACTATGTATATAAAACGTATTTATATTTTTAACCTCGCTATGTATATAAAATGTATTTATATTTTAACATCACTTTGTATATAAAACGTATATACGTTTTATATTTTAACTTTACTATGTACACAAAATGTATATAAAACGTTATCATATATGTATATACTAGATATAAAGCACAAACTATGAGAGCTTAAATTATTAATGTAAGAGGAAACAGACAATATAAGTTCCGCTCAGAGTCTTATTCCTTGTTAGGATCCCTTTTCCAGGTAAGGCATAGAATAAGTGAAAATTGTAGATATTTGTAAACATGGGATTAAAATCATCCTGTTCTGTTTTTAAATTTTGCTCACGAAGAATGCCGCAAATTGTTTCAACGATTAAAGACAATCTTTAGATCATTCTCTCAACTTTCATATTTTCTGGGACACCATGTATGATATTACAATCAAACACTTAAGTATACTTGTGCAAATATATTTTGTATTTGGGTTGAACAACCTTTTTATAAATGGCTAATAGCCAAGGTTGCAATAGATCTGTTGGCTTTGAAAAGTACGGTATAGTTAGAACTAGTTAGAACCGGAGGTGTCCATTACTCCAACCAAATTACTAAAGTTTAAAGTTACTAGAAATTCAAGGCGCTTCGCGCCCTTCTTTCTAGGCTTTTAGGGCGCTTCGCGCCCATCTTCTATTTAAATTGTGAACATGTTCTTTTTGTTTACATTTTAAAACAAAGAAAAAAATTTTGCGAATTTTTAAAATAAAATTCGCGGATTTTCAAGAGTTTACATTTTTTTACAAAATAAAAAAAACCATTTTTTAAAATTTTTATCATTCATAAATCTTCCCTGTGATGTCCCACAAAAAATTTGGGCCCGATCGGTTCAGCCGTTTTGGCGTTTATTGGATACCAACGAACAGACAGACAAACCAAATTTATATAAAGATGTGCATGTTTAGGCCGGGCTACATTTCAGTATTAGTGAATTAGTCAAACCAAAAGCCAAGGCGATATGCCACTCCGGTCTAGAAAATTGATGAAACTTTTCATTACAGTCTGAATCTATGTGAGTCTTTAAACAACTCTAGGTCTTTTTTAAGTAAACTTCTTGAGGACCAACTCCTGAAGGGGCTCATTCCTTAGCTATCTTACTCTTGTTACTCAGCCCCCGTAGCCTGTGTAAGCCCCCTTGCAGCCTGCGGCGACTCTACCGGTCTAACCTGACCCAGAATAAAAGTAAACATCTAATTACTTAAATTTAAGACTTTTTGAAGATTTTATCCCTGAGTTTGTAATGTTGCTGGTTGGAATCACTTTTAAGTAAAAAAATTAAACGCTTGCTTCATATTTTTTATTCTTACTTAAATTGTTGTTGAGCAATTAAGAGAGCTCTTATACATTAAAGTTATTATATTTAACATTAAGAGAGCTCTTATACATTAAAGTTATTATATTTAACATTATTAAGAGAGCTCTTATACATTAAAGTTATTATATTCAACATTATTAAGAGAGCTCTTATACATAAAAGTTATTATATTTAACATTAAGAGAGCTCTTATACATTAAAGTTATTATATTTAACTATAAACGTCTAATAACCGAAACCCTAAAATTCTCTTCGTAATATAAAATAACCGAACCCCTGACATTCTGCTCATAATATTGAATAAACAAAACTCTAACAACTTGTTCATAATATCTAATAACTTTTAGCACAAAACATTCACAATTGTGTTAAATATCCAAGGTGTTAAGGTCGATCGTTAGACTCTCAAGCAACCAAAATAACAAATGACGTCAAAATACACAATAGTCGGATAAATATCCAACGCCTATTCTTTATAATTAGCAAAGTCTTTACCCCCGAGTACTGTAATATACAGATTAGCTTTGAAAGTGGAGTATATGCAAAGAGAATCGAATATATATTAGAGTGGAATTTACTAGAAAAAAGTGTAAAACGGCCATTTTGTTGTACTGTTTCCATACTGCAGGTGTACTTCACATATTTATGCTATATACACTTTTGGGCCCTGGAATACAATTTTATAGAAAATCGAAAATTAATGTTAATAGAAACCCAAATTATGAAATAGGCTGGTTTCATAATTGATTAATGATCATTTCACATAGACTCACTTTTCAAACGATGATTTTCCGTTATAACTATAAATCAAATGATGTTTTTATTCACCTAATTCATTATAATGTTTATTTAACAGCTTTAAAAAATTCGAAATTGAAATGAATAGTCTAGGGAACACTGTATTAATGTACTCTATTGCATATAATATGTGAACATTTACATGATTTGTACACTTTAAACTCCCTTTTAGGCTGAAAGGGACTGAAAAAATTCATACCAAGAGATTCTCTAAATTCCCCTCTAATATATATTCTATTCTCTATGAGTATATGGCTTGTACATGTACAATTAGTAAAGGATTAGTGTACATCATCACTCTTTATACTATAACCTCGTTGATTGGAAATTATTTTTAACAGCACATATCGGATATATTTATAGCTGCTCCTAATTTATGAATATTCTATTTGCTAAGGGAGAAACTCCCATAATATCTAATATGTATTCAGAACTCGGCACTCATACAGCCAACAGCAAAGTATTTAAAGACGATATGTGTAGTTTTAAGTACGGTACCTTTAAAATAAAATTAAGAATGAATCGTAAATCCATAATTTTTCTATATAAAATTGATTATTTCCAACTGTGGGTTTTCTATAAGAGTTGGTTGCAGATTTATGATAAAAAATTAAGGACATTATAAGAATAACAACCATATTCCAAATGTTCATAGGACTGCAGTTTAAATTTTTCGGTTGGCCCCCCCCTGGACCATGTATTGGGCCAAAAAATTTTCTAAGAAAATTTAAGGAAAAAGAGGAGGGAGGGATAAAGGGAAAAGGGGCGGGAGGGATAAAGGGAAAAGTGGGAAGAGGGAACAAAAAAAACAAGAGGGTATTTGTTTTTTATTTTCTAGTTTTGGCTTACACAAAAATCTATGCAAAATTTTTTTGGGGAAAAATGTGATATTTTTTCCACAAAGGGAATGGAAAAAGGAAGGGAAAAGAAAAAAAGGAGGGAAAAAGGGAATTTATTTTCAACTGCTAGTTTTGGCTAACGCAGGAAAATAAGTAAATTTTTTGGGAAAAATATAATATTTTTCCCTGCAATGGCAATATTATGTTTTCCCAACTTGTCTATGGCTTGACTTAGGTAAGAATTCTGGTTTTGTAACTGATACATGTACTTTGTATTAAATGCTCAAAATACCATGCTCCCCCAACCTACCTTGTAAGTTCAATATGTACATACCCATATATTTATGAATATTTAATGTTTGCTTTCCTAGCTAATTTTCTCTAGTAATGGAACTTTATTGTACAAATAGTTGATCTGTAAATAAATTTTCTTACTATACCTCAATCCCCCTCGCCAACAAGTTGGAAATCATGAAATCCAACAAAACCATCCAACTCTTTATCAAAATTGGATTTCTTCCATTGGCAAAAGATAAAGATGGTCAACCTAAAGTAAATTTATCAAACAAGATGTATCTTCTCATCAATCTGTTCCGCATCTTGCCTTTAACTGTCTACCTCTACTTAAGTATTAGCGACCTTCTAAGTGAAGACCTTAACATGAAGTCTGTGATTTCATCCTCATTCAAGGCAGTGGGATATATAGGCGGATCTGGTTTGGCAGTTATCCTTGCTTTAACTGGACAACGCTTAGGACCAGATGCCTTGATGGGTATAAGTGAACCATGTTGCTGGAAAAATTTTATACTGATTGGAATTGTTATGTCACTCTATGTTTTTGGAAATCTTATGATGGAGGTGCCATTATTCCTAAAACAGAGCACTCTTGTGGAACTGTTATCTTTCACTTTTGCACTTATTTCCATCACTTTGTTAGTAATTTTGGACTATGGGGTTCTGATGGTAACTAGTTTTCTATGGGTCAAAGATTTAAAAACTAAGCTGAATATTCTGATCCATGCAACCATTGTATCTGCTGAGACATTTGAAGAAATTCTGCTTGATTTTGAAAGGTTAAGACATTCTATGAAAATTCTAACAACCTTTTTTTTCCCCTTCACCCAAGCATTGGCAATCACCTCATCATATCTGGGATTTGTTGCAGGTTAGAGAAATCTATTTTATTTGAATTTGAAACAATATAAATTAATACAAGTAATTTTGCAGAAGATGTATATAGCTATGGCAGTCTTCTACCTACATTAGGAATCGTCATTAGTTTGAACACTGTTGTTAATGTCCTTGAGGATCTTTATGATCTAATGGAGGAAGCTGCTGACAAGGCAGAGAAACAAGGTCTTCAATCAACAACTCTCCGAGAAATGCAAAGGTAGGCAGATTATCTTTGAAAATATTAACTTTCTACTCTGCAAAGATTGTACTTTAATTTGCGTCTACATTAGATATTAATTTCTTGCTTTAGAATGGTGTCTAAAGTCACAAATTAAAAACATTCAGCCAATGTACAATCTATCCAGTTTTGGCATGTGCAACCCAAATGGAAGCAGACCCATTATGTGAGACCATTCCTGGCAATTGTACACAAAGCAAACACATTTTCATCTAGCCAAGACTCTTTGATCTCTTTGGAAGGTCAACATAAATGATTGGAATTCTTCTCAGAATTTGAAATGTTATAATTCTATTAAGGTTTATTACTGTGGCCGCCAAGATTAAGAGAGTTGGAACTTTCACAGGCTTTGGATTCTTCTCCATTCAACGTGACACTTTGACTGCTATGCTATCAACCACCATTACCTATATCATTATCCTGTTCCAATCTATTAAAACTTAAAGTTTACAATAAATTATTGACGCATGAGTATGCTACTTTGTTAGTTTGTTTATAATGAATGTCCAAATGGCTGAAACATTTTTTTATCCACTGCAATTTTTAACAAAATAAAACAGATAAATAAAAAATTATTATTAATATAATAGATCTGCAGAAAAAATGCTTGAAGAAGAAATAATCCAAAAAAAAGTTGAATTTAAACCAAAACTTTTTCTCTCAGATTCAATCCATCCTCGGTGAGAAATACAAACCTCAATATATTGTTAAGGAGTTTAACACATTTTTTACACTTAATATTGTTCTGAGACTTCTTTTTAATTTAAATAGTTTGTTTTAACAATTTATTTTTTTAAAAAGGTTTTTAAAGAAGATAATTACAAAATTGTACAAAATTATTATAACAATATTACAGTATTCCAATTTTTCCCACTTTAAGATTCTTGGGGCCCTGGTACCCTCCCTGCCTGGGAGGGGGGGATGAGTTGGATCCCAGGACCCCAAAAATCCCAAGTGTGAAACAGCAATCCAATATTCATTTTTGATAGTTTCAAATTAATTGGTAACAGAAATGGTCTGTACATTCTTTTTATCTATTCATGGTTCAGAATTCTGCAAATCTCTGGTTCTTTTTTAATTATGTCTGATACTTCTGGTTTGTTGCAAGAACGTTTAGCTAATTACATGATTCTAAATTTAATATCTCAGCTGCTGGCACTGTACCCAATCAATCATAAAATAAAAACCCCTCCAGGTTTTCTGGAATTTGATATTTTCTATCTCAGTAGTTTGTGGATTGTTTAAATTTATCAATCAAATCAAAACAAACCAGACTCTTTGGGTGTCCTCCTTCCAATCCCCAAACTTGAAGTGAATAATACTAAATGATGTCTGGAGAAAGGTCTTGTAGCTTGTTGTCAGTATGGTTCTATAATTGCTTTGATTTTGATATTTTTTTCGGATTTCTTTGTCATTATAAACCTGATGATAGTTAAGGATTAGGTTTGTTTAAAGTAGATTAAGTTAAACCACTACAGCGGACATCCAACATTAAACCAGATTCCCAATATCAGCCACTAGCTAGAGTCTTAAGCACATTCGCTTCTATAATAGACTCCAACCAGCGAATGCCCTCTTGGTTTCCAATGCAGAGTAAGTTTTATAGGATATAGTGTTTGACAATGAAACAATGTACAAATGGATGATTTTAAGATGCGATCTGCTAGAATATCTACACTTGGAATAGGTTTATATATTGCTTTAGTTCTATCATTTTCTAATCAAGGTTTTGTCAAGTCAATTCTGAAATCTAATATGGAAATTACTAAGAGCCTAGTTTGATTCAATTAAGCGTTGTTATTAACTTTTACTTATATCCAATTGAAGATGATGAGTCTCTCTTGTATTCTGTGCCTAAATTTTGTCTTTTCCTGAAAAAAACGATCTACCAGAATATCCAGGGCCAATCCTTGCTGTAGATAGTCAATCCTCATCAGTATAGTATTCCCCAGGAAATCTCTTAGTGCATCCACTACATTTTCTATATCACTCTTCTGCTGTCTCTCTATCAGAGTATCCTCAAGGATTTGGCTACCAACCTTGATATCTCTTCTGACTGGCTTCAACTTTTTGCATCAGAGGGCTAGATCAATCTTGTCATTGCTTCCTCCTAAGCACAAAGGACACAAGGTTACTCTTCCTTCTGACTCGGACACTGCATCAGCTGCTCTATAACCATCAGAATTTCCCAACCCTACATTCATGCAAAATATAGATCTAGTTCTTTTCCAGTGGCACCATTTTAGTGTGTTCTAAAAACATATTAATCATAACAAATATTATTAATGAAAGTGACCAAAGTTTTAACAGTGTATAAACTAATATGATAGAAATGTGATTATTGTTCATGAATGAAATACTTTATTCAATGTATACAAGTCTTTTCCTTATTTTGTAGTAATGCATCACATTGTATACAAAAATTTTAATTTTTTGTTATCATGAGCATTGCCCAATTTTGTGCAACAAGTATAACCTTGTATTCATGCAGAAAATCATGCAAAAATTATGACTTTAATTCTGTATACATGCAGAATTTTATGCAAAAAAAATTGGTGAAAAATTGGTTTCATATTGATACAAAATTGAGCAAAACGTGCAAAAACAGTCATTTTGTGAAGAAAAAAAACTGTTTTGTGGAAACCCTGGTTTAAAATTGTAAAAAAATATAAAAAATTTAAAATGTGCTTCATTCATATAATCATTGATTATGTTAAATTAACTTATATGTCTGCAACACATAGAACGTTAGCTCTTATAAACTTGAACTATTTTTAATAAATAAACGTTTAAGTGGGAAAGTTCTAAATCATTTATTGGTAGGCTTAGAAAAAGTAGCTATAAACATTTTTTTGACATTTTCATTTATTTGGCAATATTAAAATACAATATTTTTACATTTACATAGAGTTGAGGTCTAATGAAAATGAGCATCTTTAAACTTATCATACAAAGAACAACCTCAGTTTAAAACTTTATTACTTAAAAGAATTATAAATGAATTTTTTAAAATATTATTATTAAACTTTTTAAAAACATTTTCAGCTCTAGATACATTTTTCCTATTATAACTACATACCTACCAGGCAATAAATTAATATTGGATATTGAGGTCATAAATAAATGTACTCTTTTATGTTAGCTCCCCCAGACTTTTGGTAATTATCAATCAATTGCAAGAACAAAAACACACATTAGACATTTTCCCTGAATGTGCACTTCAGAATTTAAATATGTAAAACAGGGGGGTTGTCAGAAATTTTTCCATGTGGGCTTTACATTTTTTTTCATTCTTTGAGGTGGCTCAGCAACCCTCTGAAATCCAGGGGCTAAGCCCCCCCACCCTTAACAATGCCTTTGATTTAAAAACACAAAGTCGTTCAATGTGGTATTATCAATTATCTAGAAGAACTGTCATTAACATAAGATGGACACAGCTTTCTTAAACTTTATGTTTGTGAAAATTCAAATTCAGAAAAAATGGAAATAATAATAATCAATCATTAATAATTGATATATAGCTATACAATTTCTCACTCTCTGTTGGATTTTCTTAATGGGTTATGAGAAAAGTTTGTTGCTACATTTTTTCTAAATAAAAATTTTACTTTTTCAAATTTCTAATTTTGTTCTTCTATGGGAGTCTATTCAATTTAATTAAACTTGAAACAGACAACAATTTACTTGTCAAAGCCCAAAAGGCTAGTGTAACTCATCAAGTTGAGGAAACTCAAAAAACTCTTTTTCCATTTTGGTTTACAGAATACTTATATCAGCCTACATTATAGTAAATAAATAAATATTAAAAAATTCAACCATTTTAAACAAAATAAAAAGTGTAAACAAATATTTTAAATTTGACAACACAGATAATTAAGTTTATTTTAATTTACAAGTGAATCATCAGCAGGAGAAGAAAGGTAGAGGCAGCAGGGATATTATTAGAATTGCTCTCCACTTCTGTAGTAGAATGGTTGGAATTTCTAGCAGCTCTCTCAAAATCCTTATTACAATGATCCGTATCGCAATAACACATTCTCTAGAAAAACATTAGGATTTAAAATCGTCTATGTTTGGTCAGAAAAGCTTCACATGTTTAAGAAAGAAACAATAGTTTCAAAATACTTAAAACATTAGCACATTGAGGAAATTACCAACAGGGGTGTATATTTTCTTGAAATAAATATTTACACCACCCCCTTTTTAAAGTCTCTTTTCTCCCCATATCTTAAGTGTTTACACCTCACTGAACTCAGGAAAAGTAAATAAGTTTTTGGGATAAATAGGGTGAAATTTTTTCCTCCCATGAGCATTAATAGCCATTCTTGAAAATATATACCCCATGACAAAGAAACTAAGCATTCTTACCACCCCCTCAAAACCAAAACAGCCAAGAACTGTCCCAGCAGGCTTAATATCACAGCTCTTTAGAAGGGTATCAGCAACTTAAACAAAGATGATGCATTTGCTTTTACACTGTTAAAAATCCTAATATTTTGTTCATAAAATCTTATTACCAAATGCATTTTGTAATTCCAAACATTTTGTGAAATATGAAAGGAACCACCCAGAGGGGGATATCAATAATCTAGTAGTCATCAGACACATACCAATAAAAGAGCAAAGCAGTCGAACAGTTTTATTAAAAGTGAAATAAATAAAAGAAATAAAGAACTAAAGCGATGTTGATATACTGCTGTTACAGTTCATCCAGAGTCACAGGTTAGGGTTTCCTGTACTCAGTGATGGGTTTCCTGTGACCTTCTTGTATTCTAGATCCACAGGCTTGAGTTTCCTGTGGAGATCTTTGTTTAACCCATGGCCAGGAGCTCATCATAGATTGATTGCTTCTCAGGACTCAGATTGTCCGTCATAACACCATGGAGAGTTGGGAGAATTTCTTCATCCTCTTAATAAGAGAGCTGGTCCTTTTTATTATCCTGGCAAATAATCATTTCGAAATCACCGAAAAGGTTGGTGGTAATAATTTGTTTAGATTTTGAGAATAGAATTTTTGAGGAATATTTCACAATTTTTTAGTATGAACACAATGGCTGAGATGCATATAAAATGTATAAAATATAATGTGCGGAATTTGTAATGCTTTTATTTATTTGATATTGTTCCTAATAGGGTGCAATATGCAGCCTGTAGAAAAAAATGATCGAAATTAGAAAAAAAACACTATAAAATTTCACCTTCATTGATAGAGCAGACATTCATCTCTTTAGGGCAATAACTCTGGTAACCTTATTTAATACGTTTAACTACTTTTTAAGGATTTTTAAGTAATAAGGGAATAAAACGTCAAATTGTCATGAATTGTTGACAAAACGTAAAATATGAATTAATACAAGATGAAAAAAAATTATGCAGAATGAAAATTTGTTTTGAGTATGCTACTGCTGTTATCAGATTCAGGGATAAATGCCACTTGGATCAAATATAATTAGAAGATGTGGCACTTTGAAAACTAAAAAATAATTGTATTGAGTTGAAAATAAGAAATGTTACCACGACTACAACTTCCAGATCCTTGGACATCTTGGCATTCATAGCACTGAAAATACAAGGTTAAGTAATGCTTGATCTGAAGCTTGAGTGATTTTATTTTAGAGAAGTCTCTGAGTCATAGTAAATGTGTGTTGAAGTTCTTAATTCTGACGGAAAACTGGTAATTTTCTTGAAAACTCTAAAAATGAGTATTTTAAACACAAATCAGAGCCAGTATATGTTTTTTCCCTGAAATAGTTTGCTTTAACAAAAACGACATTCTAAATATATTGTGGGTTTACAGGATCCATTCAAGGATAAATATATAAACATAGAAAGTAAAAATATATCAAAAATATGATCAATCTTTTTTTAAAATCTAAATATTTATTCTGTAATTAAAAATTAAAGATTTTTTAAAATTCACTAGCTGTAAAACAGAGTCCATTTTAAGTATGGCAGTGTAAACGTTCACATCCTGATATTGATTTATCCGTGCTAAGAAAACAGGCATCATAGTTTCCAGGTTTTTCCATGGTTTTCTTGGGACATATTAAACATATAGCATACTAAAAAAATCCAAACATAGGATTCATAATATTGAATGGAGGAATCAGGCCAGGCGCGGGTTCAAGCTCACATGGAATGGGTTTAGTTATAAGTTTCAGGGTCTGTTTTGGTTTAGGTTCCCTGTTTTGTTAAGGTTCAGGATCAGGTTCAGAATCAGGTTTGTTTTAACCGTTTAACTAATTGGTATATGGGAGGGGAGGAAGGAGTAGAAGAAATAAAAGGTTCTTTAAAGATAATATTAAAATATTTTAAAACCAACCAACCTGTAATCCTTGGTTGGTTTGAGCTAAAGAGATTTTGAGGCAACCAAGAATAAACACTATTTTGCACAGATGTTGCATGTTGGTCCTTAATGTTAAAATCATGTGCTATGAAGGGTTGGATGTATTGATATTTAACAGGAAATGCATAAGCCATGATTTGATTTAGGAGTGTGTAAAAACACAGACAAATATACAGCGACAATAATATTTAAATTAAAGATTAATTATTGTCCATTTCAATTTGATGCGGAGCATATTTTTTAACTGAATCACACACTAAATTGTGACATTTAAAAAAAAGATCTTTTCTTTGGGGTTTTAAACTTTTTATGAGAAGATTATTAATAGTCCGCATAATTTAACTTCTTTAAAATACAAGAATAAAGAGCAAAGCTGCAACTTTATTCTAGTTACCTTTTACGGGGCCCAATAATTTAAATTTAGATGGGGACAACTTGTCGTTTACTTTTACTGTCCCACATTTTACTTCTGCCAAAGAATCTCAAGGGAGGCCCAGGATATTTGTTATTTTAGTCAGATTTAAACCAATTTTTGTTTTTGTGAGGTGAACCGTGGTGCTAAGTGGTATGTACGCCACTGTATTCAATATTTGTTCCTTGTCATACCTCAGTTATCCGGGATACGTTTTTATTTTTGACTAATGATAAAATACTCGTCAAAACTACCATACACAATATACATACAAACACTAGTTAGGACCTATCTAGCCAATAAGGGTTGTTTTGAATAATAGGCCCTTAACACAAAACTTCAGATAATTTTAAAGCAAAGATAGGGATAGGGTCTTCTAAACCATCCAGCTATGATATTTCTAGAGAGAATCAAATAATTTTCCCTCTGCAGTGTGAATCTGTTTGTATCTGAGCTGAGTTGTGGTGGAGATCTTATATTGTATCATAAAAGTAAAAACTGTTATAACATGAAAACTTAAAAGCTGGCTTGTGCTTATCATCAAAAGCTTAAATTCAGATAACTATTTTATAAATGTTTTGCTTCTTTATTGTATCTTCATTTTTAAATGTTATAAAAGTATTAATGTTTAAATACAAAAAAACAAAACATAGCTTTTTTAACCAAATAAGAAAAAACAATGCAAAATGAGAGTTGTGATTATTTGCCTGTTTTTGGCATGCTGAAACGATTGCTGGAACGATATTACAATAAAAGAAAATAATAACAAATAGTACTAAGAAGATGCCGTAGACAATAAGATGACCATTTTCATAGCCAAGATTACATAAATGATGATAATGAAGATGACTATGAAGATGACTATAAAGATGATGATGAAGATGATGATGAAGATGACAATGAAGATGAATAAGCAATTGACTTTTTCACGTCGGAGTCACCAAAATGTAGCGACAGCAGTAAGACAAAGAACAAAAAATTAATATTTTTTTATAACTTACAGCATGAGGTTAAAACTATATATATTTGGCTTGGATTAGGCTCAGAGCTAAGACGACATTCATGCCTAATTCATATTTCACAACAGGAATCATTAAACCTTTGTCTCTGCAAAAACTGAATAATTTTCAATTGCGGGTTTGCGATAAAAGTGACCTACCGATTTATGAAATTCAGGTGTAAGGAAGAAAATTTGATAAAATCGATTTCTGTCCAAGAGATAAAAACGTCAATAGCTTTAACTTTAAAATCTGTCATAAATTTCCTTCAATGGAAGGTTATTTATAATTCGTAGACCTCAATTCTTTAAATATATCAACATTTTATTAAAAACGTTTAAATGTAGTCAACTTTATTGTAAAATCTTTGGAAGGGGAGGTGTGGGGAGCTAACAAATATTAGTTTATCACATTTCTTTAAATATAATAATACAGTTTAATCAAAATAGTCCTCTATATCCACATCAGGGCTTAGCAGATCCTCGCCATAAACTAAACAAATTCATCTAAAATATTCTTTAAACATGTTTAAACCATCCATTTAATTTAAGTAATTTTAAGTGACCTTTTCAGTCTAAATTCATTGTTTTTGCTTAAATAGGGGTGTAGACGAAATTTCAAGTTACCCTCCTATTTTAGATTCGTATGTCTGATTCACAACGGTACCCTTGCCTGTAAATCTATGTAATTTGTTTTGCCTGTTTAGTAATTATAGCCCCCCAGCCTAAGAGTGAAAATTTAGATTTGTTTATATAGAAATTTTTATTCAAATGTTTCTAGATAGACTGTCGTTCCTAATTTTAAGTAGCCAAAAATTTAAAAAAGAGGAGCATGTCAGATTCACAACGGTATCCTTAATCTGATTAATAATGAGGAAGACAACGTTGCTTTTCTGAAAATTTCTCCATGGATTCTGGAGCAAGTAATGCGCAATTCACTTGAATTCAGAAACCATGTATATGAAAATAATCAAGCAACAAAACATTAAATTTAAGTTTTGAATGGTACCATTGTTAATCGGACATGCCACTCTATAATAGAAGGTTACTTGAAATTACGGGCCTACAGACCCTTTCAAAAAACTTAAAGCTTTACCTGATAAATCCATTTGATTGAGGATGAGATTCTCAAATGTTTCCTCTGAAAAACATTCAAGTAAAAAAAAACATCAGAACAGAAAATTTTTCTGTTTAAGTAACTATTAGCAAAAAATTATGCTGGTTACATTCTAGCTTTCAACATACAAAAATATATCTTTTATTATTTAAAGGGAACACTCCCTTTAAGCCAACGCGTCTCTTTTATTAGATGGTATTAACATCTATTTCTACAGAAAAGTTCTTTGAGTTTTGGTTCAGGTTTGGTTAGACTTGACAAATTGATGGATTTAACCGTTTGCGGAAATTTGCCCAGGAAATGGGGGGAAAAGTTGGGGTGTGGGATATAAATTCTATAGAAGTCAAAAGAAGGAAAGTTAAAATAAAAACTGGCTTTGAATAGAATACCTAAACCAGTATCTCCTATTAGTACTGCACCCTGCATCCTTCCATCTTTCATCACAACCTTCACGTACTCCTGTACACATAAAATACAGGGTGTCACAGTAAATGCTTCAAGTACGCCTGTACATAAAATACAGGGTGTCACAGTAAAAATGAAAGTAGAAAATGAAAATAGTTAATTTTAACAAGATAAAAAATAAAAAAATGCCCGTAGAAAGCTGTGTGAATAAGGTATGAAACTAGAATACAGAGTGTTACAGAAACATGAGAGCTGAGTGACAAGTAGAGTAAAATCAAATATCTACTGTTAATGCAGATTAAATGTATAGAAATTGCTATTTTCAGTAATAAAATAGTTGTTTGATGGAAATCAATTAGAACAATGAATAAAAAGTTGTTTTTTTTATTTCTGTAAAAGGTTCGTCTAATATAAGGTTACAACCAATAAACATCAGTATTATTGTTATTACAAATATTCAAACCATTACTTTATTAGGTATGTTTTTGTTTGTTTTTATTCACTAAATTGGGGGAAGTAAATGATTTAAAGGGAAAAATAAATGAAATTTTGGATCAACAGTATTAAAAAGATGAAAAACTTGCACTTTGTTCTCTAATTTTAATTTTTTCCCTAAGCATCACAAATTCAAAAATATACTCCCCCAGACTCAAAGCATGCTTAGAAGATGGATCCTTGATAAATAATACAATTTTTACCTGGCAAAATGTTGTTAAAAAATATATCTTAAATCTTACTTTGCCAGGTGTGACTCTAACAAGAAGATCATATTTATTCTCCAAATTCTGTCCTTTGAACAGACCTAACAGTATCACCTAGAAATACAACACTAGGGAATCCAGACAAATGGGAAAATTGTTAAATTGTTTTGCAAAAAATGCGAATTTTAGCTTTTAAAAATATCGCATTATGTTTAAAGAAAAATTGCCATTTTTTTGATTTTTCACTAAATTTTCTGAATTTGTCGCATATTTTGTTTTCTTTTAAAAACAAAATCCGGATTATTTTTGCTACTTTATGAACAATTCATGTTCACTTTCGCTAAAAATATTGCAAAATACAAAAGAAAGTTTCTGCAAAATTCTGCACTTTTTCGCAAAAGTTTTGTTCGCTGGAAACCCTAATCACCACTTAAAACCAAATTGACACATTTTTGGCATTTGCATCTGGATCCTAATTCACGTTCTTGAATCATATTTTTATTTTTTAAACATTTTAATAATTGCTGATATGGTCTATCAAAGATAATGTGGGGTTCTTTGAATTAAAATATTTCAATTACATGTGATAATTGTTCTATATATTGTTTGAAACATATCAAAAATATGGATTAGCATCAAAATAAAATGAATACTAGCCACTGCTACAACTGGCGATTGTTTTCAGAATTTTGAATTTAAACTGAAAAATTTTAATTTAAAAAATACACCTATAACAGAATAGATTATAAAAGTTAAAAATCATAAATAAGAAAATTCTAAGTAATATCATATTAGACCTAGAAAAAACGTTCATATAAAGTCACAAGAACGTAATTTTGCATGTTGGGAACATGGTTAATAAGTCATGCCATCAAAACTTTTTATATTTTAAACTTGATGTTGTCAATCAAACCTTTTTGCCAAAGAATGAAGTAACATGTGCGAGCATCTCAAAACAAAAATCCAGATCTATAGGCTCCTATCATCAACTTACTTATTATTTATTAGTTAAACAAAAAAAATTATAAATATATTTAGTGTTACAACAAAACAAAATAAAGAAATGTCGTATTTGCTATTTTTTGTTTCAAAATGTAATTATTAAAGGAAAAGACTTAAAAGACGACTTTATGAAATTATTTTGGTCCCTTCAATTATACAATCTGTTTTTTTGTATTCCAAAACTGGCTAATTTATTTAGTAAACCATTAAACACTAAATTAAAGGCAGAAACCAAAAGTTTCAGCTTCAAATCGTCATGTTTTGGTCGTCTCTATAGTCTATCCTTAATGGGTAAACCTATATTTGTGATAACTGATCTATCTTTACTAATATGTTCATTGTGCTTTTTATATAACAGTTATTTTTTTGTGAACAAAAAAAAGGGGGGGGGGGAGCGAAATGGCTTTTATTAAAAATACATATTGTTGATAATAATGCTTTGTGCAAGGGCCCTAAAACCAAAGCGTTTAAATTTTTTTAAAACCGCTTAATAGGAAAGCTCCTCAATTGTGTGATAGTACATACACTTCGCTGCGTACATTCCCATCTGCCTCGCCTAAATAAAAGGAAATAAAATAACGCAATGTTCAGTTAATTAATAAAATAATTTTACGGGGCATTCTTTGTCCAGCTACCAGGTCTAAATACAGGAAAATGGCGTAAAGTTCAGCTGTATGTTACAATTTTACGGGGCATTCGTCCTTTCCCAGCTAACGGGCGAAATACAAAGAAATGACTTAATGTTTCGCCGAATATCACAATTTTACGGGGGGTTGTCCTTATCCAACTAACTGGCTTAAATAAAAATTGTTCGGGGCATTCTTCCAAATTGCGCAGATACCTGGGTCCACAGTCTCATTTGAAGCCAATGTTTAGACCATTCCCAACCTAAGTAATAGAAAACTTAAGTAACATGAACAAAAGGTAAGAAATTAAGCGCTAATTGCCTAGTAATTGAAAATGGGTAAATAACTCATAAAAAATATAAAAATTAAAATAAAAGTAAAAATTTAGCTTGAATTGACATGAAAAATCTACCAGTTGGTATCATCACTAGCCCTGACCTGACTTGACCAAATCTAACCTGCATGACAAACATCTCCAGCAGCGTAAACATCTAATCATATTTTTACTCAAGTATTATGATCAATCTTAAATATTTGGAGATATCCTCCTCGATGCAAGATGTAAAATGTAAGATGTAAGAAAAAAACCTTTTAAGAGAAAAGAAGAATGGAAAATGAATAAGAACAAACGAATTCGATTAACAGTATCTTTCATTTATTTCACTGCTTAAAGGGAGTGACCGGCTATGTAAGGTAGTTGAACTGAGGACGCAGTGTTGTGGAAAACTTCTTTAGGATTCATTTGAGACATATTTCACTTTTTAAAAGTCTGTAAATCCTGAGTTTGAGCGCAAATTCGACGTTCAAAACTCCTGATTTGGGGGTGGATACGCTTTCAGAATTATTTTGAACGTCGAATTTGCGCTCAAACTCAGGATTTACAGATCTTTAAAAAGTGAAATATGTCTCAAATGAATCCTAAAGAAGTTTTCGACAACACTGCATCCTCAGTTCAATTACCTTACACAGCCGGTCACTCCCTTTAAATTTGCATGCAACAACCACGAAATAGCAAATAAATTGTTATGTTTTCCTAATGCTGCTCAGGTCATATTTTGACATTAATTAATTAATAAAATAATCATTAATGAATGGTTCTCTTAAGAATCTCAAAATTTTTCGATCGGTAACGCCATTATAATTGAGATAAGATGCAAGATGCGAGATGCAAAATGCAAGATGCAAAATACAAGATGCAAAATGCAAGATGCAAGATACAAAATGCAAGAGGCAAGATGTAAAATGCAAGATGCATGATGCAAGATGCAAGATGAAAGATGCAAAAGGCAAAATGCAAGATGCAAGATGCAAGATGCAAGATGCAAAATGCAAGATGCAAAATGTAAGATGCAAAATGCAAGATGCAAGATACAAAATGCAAGAGGCAAGATGTAAAATGCAAGATGCAAGATGCAAGATGCAAGATGCAAGATGAAAGATGCAAAATGCAAAATGCAAGATGCAAGATGCAAGATGCAAAAGGCAAGATGCAACATGCAAGATACAAGATGCAAGATGCAAATGGCAAGATGCAAATGGCAAGATGCAACATGCAAGATGCAAAAGGCAAGATGCAAATGGCAAGATGCAAGATGCAAGATGCTAAATGCAAGATGCAAGGATCTTAAAAGATTCGGCATTGTGACATTTTTTCAAAGAAGTAAAAATATAATATAATTATTTTCCTTTAAAAATCACAAGCCATTTGTAGATTGTGGAATTCACTCTTTTTCGGTTTAACACAAGAGCAAAAAGTAATTCAATCAGTAGTCAAGTTAAGTTAATAAATGAGTTAAAAATTCCTTTGCATGAAGATTGCATATTGTCGTCTACTATGATTCCACCATCAGAGTGTAAATCCAAAATATCCCTGACAGAATTAAATCATTAACTTAAGAATTTACACTTTTTGTTATTAGTAAATATCATTTGATCTGACCACTAGGCTAATTTATATAGATTACCCTTTGATTTATTAAAAACATGTCAAAAAATTTTGTGCGAAATAGCGCTAATCCACAACACTTGATATCGATATCCACTGAGAGGACAATTTCAAAGATACATTTGCTTGATACACCAAAAATTTATAAAGTGGGTTATAAGTTAAAGTTTTTTAATCGTTTTGTGCGAAATAGTGCTAATCCACAACACTTGATATCGATATCCACTGAGAGGACTCTTAATTTCAAAGATACATTTGCTTGATACACCAAAAATTTATAAAGTGGGTTATAAATTAAAGTTTTTTAATCGTTTTGTGCGAAATAGTGCTAATCCACAACACTTGATATCGATATCCACTGAGAGGACTCTTTAATTTCAAAGATACATTTGCTTGTTACACCAAAAATTTATAAAGTGGGTTATAAATTAAAGTTTTTTAATCGTTTCAGATAGTTTGGGCAAGATAGGTATGAAGATGTTATCAGTTACCTTACAATTTTGTCAATTAAATGTTCTTATATAAATAAACTATTAATCTAATGCTAAAAGTAAAAAAATTAGAACACCTGTAAATGCTTCCGCTTGGTACAACTCCTGTGGCGGAAATTACAAAATCAGCTCCTGAATAAAAATTGTTAAAATAATTCTTTAAGGTTCTTCAATTTTTAAAACCTCCGCTAGGATTAATTTGTCACATGGTCGGAGGTAGACGATTTACTGGTTCTGCTTAAAGGGACTGCAAACGTAGTTTATAGTGACCCTTTATTTAAAGAGTGTCATGTCACTATGTCTGATTAGGATGAATGAGAAATTTTTATTTTTTCGATATGCCGATTGCAGAGACTATGAATGAAATTGTCAGAATATTACCAACGACCATTTCTTCCTCATAGCTTCTCAGATATAGATTTATCGTTTTTCATTACTTTACAATAAAGAATTAACAAGGATTGAGAAAATAAATTAGGTTTTAAAATACAAAAAAAAGTAATTCAAATCAGGAGGAACAAAACTTTAAAGAAATATGAATAATAATTAGTTATCACCTACAATACTGCCATCTGAAAATTCAACATACACACCACTTTCTTCTAAAAGGTAAAATTATCATTAATATGAGTCAACTTTAAAATATAATCACTACCTTAACTATCTGAACTACCTATTCTACGTATATTACCTACCTTAACTACCTATTCTACCTAAATTACCTACCTGAATTACCTATTTTTACCTGTATTACCTACCTGAACTACCTATTCTACCTAAATTACCTACCTAAACTACCTATTCTACCTAAATTACCTACATGAACTACCAAAACTATCCTGAACTACATGAAATACCTAAGTTAACTACCTGAACTATACCAAAACTACCTAAACTAACTAACTACCTAAACTATATCTAAACTACCAAACTTCCTGAAATACAGGAGTCAGCGATTACATCAAAACAATAAAGAAGACTTTTAATAATAATGCTTTGAACCAAAGCAAGCATTTTTAACAATCACAAGATTACAGTAAAGAAGGTATGCTGTAAATTGACCCCTTTTCTGTGTTTCCATATGTTTATTGTCTCAGCAGTTTGAAATTGATTGGTAGAAATCAGAATTGAAATATGAAGTCGTCTTTATTATATTGATATACACGATGACGACGGTACAGCTGTACCACCTGAAATATGAAGTCGTCTTTATTATATTGATATACACGATGACGACGGTACAGCTGTACTACCTGAAATATGAAGTCGTCTTTATTATATTGATATATACGATGACGACGGTACAGCTGTACTACCTGAAATATGAAGTCGTCTTTATTATATTGATATATACGATGACGACGGTACAGCTGTACTACCTAAAATATCTTCTGATTCTGTTGAACCAGATTTAAGAGACAAATAATCCTCCCTTGAGTAAATCTTAACAACCTTGCACGGAAAATAATTACAAAATTGTTTTTTTTAAAATCTTCAGTTTTTTTTAGGATAAAATATAAATACAATCTTTTTTTGTTGACAAAAATTCCCAATATGTTTTTCTGGAATTCTTTTTTCCTTATTTAAATACTAAAACAAAGAATGTTTTGACTGATTGGTGGTTTTAAAAATACAATCGTTTTTCGTTTGTTTTCTAAAATGAAAATATATGTTGTATAAAAATAATTTACATCTGATGATTTAAGGTAACAATGTGCATCCATGCCTTGACGTTGTATTTAATATCAATCTTCTTTTTTGTATGTTGACCCTGAAAAAATAAAATAAAAAGATCAAATTTTAAATTCTTTTTGCTCTACAGAGGCTCAAAAAAGCCAGACCAGGAAACCCGAATCGGCACAAATTTTGCATTCTTTTTAAAGAGCAAATTCGCAAGAAACCTAAAAAATCTGCGAAATTATTTATTAATTCAATTACATATTAAAATCTGAAATTGAGGTTTCTGCAATCGACTTGAAGGTTTAAAACAAAATATCATGCACCGTTGATTTTTCAGAAGAACTGAATTCAGTGAACTTTAATTTTCTAATTCTTTTAACTTTGTAACCTGAGATGGGAACTTTTGAATGGGATATCCTTAATCCTGATCGGATAATTAATCTGGAGATTAAAAATGAGTGGAGAACAAGCAATATTTAATCTCGAGATTAAGAAAAAGAGTGGATTAAGCCTTAATCCCGATATCCACCATTCTAAAGTTTTCAGCTCTGATGTCTAACACCTTTAACCTAATATCATAGGCCTATAAACTCTGCTAGTTATAATATAATATTTAAAGTGTGCACTATCAAAACTAAAAATTTAAAGTGTGCACTATCAAAACTAAATATTTAAAGTGTGCACTATCAAAACTAAATATTTAAAGTGTGCACTATCAAAACTAAAAATTTAAAGTGTGCACTATCAAAACTAAATATTTAAAGTGTGCACTATCAAAACTAAATATTTAAAGTGTGCACTATCAAAACTAAACAAATATAAAAAATGTATAATTTTTATTCTTCTATGATAACATATACTAATATACCTTCTTGCTAAATCCTTTATGCCAATCAGGGCCAAGAGCTGAGCCTAGTGTATTCTATAGAAAACTATTAAGTTTTTCTTCAATTTCTCAAATGAAAGCGCTATATTTTTTTTGAATTATAATTCATATTTATTGAATTCGTAAAATACTGAATTCTCATTGGTCCAATCTACGAATTTTTACCAAAAGGATTGAAATTAAATAGGTGACATAACGTATCCAAAATATTTCATTTTTTAACTTTAAAATATGATTACTATGATTACAAGGAACAAACACCTGATAAAAAATTTACATGCACATATTTAAATGAACTTCGACCAAAATGATTACATTAAAAAGGTAGAGCTGACTTATATAGATGCGAGCCCCGAACAGTGTTCTGGAATACTCTTGAATAATTAAAGTGCTGTGAAGAAAAATTATAAAAATTTGATTAACAATCCTTCCTGAGTAATTGAGTGAGACGAATCAATGGTATATTTCAGTCTTTTACTGGCACCCTCGTCTTCATGCTCCTTCTACAAAGTAGAGTCAGTCAGTCAGAGTCAGCTAGAGTCAACCAGAGCTGGCCAAAGCCAGCCAAAGCCAGCCAGAGCCAGGCAGGCTGTGTGTGTGTGTCTGTTTTCTGTCTGTGTGTCTGTCTGTCTATCACTGACCTCAACCTCTTTGAGAAGGAACTGCGAAGCTCCAGGGTCTAAAATAATTCAAAAATTGCTCGGCCCCTAAACTAAAATTAATAACTTCTAGTAACTCCCAACACAAAGTGTTGATTAATAATTCTCCTTCTGTGTCTCTTCAGGGGAGAAAATAAAATTATAAAATGAAAAACTTAAGGTCAGAAAACACTATGTAAGACGGCTTTTCAAAACGTTTTTACAATATAAATATTTGAAATAAAATATCAAAAACTCAAATTTACCAAAGATTTTTTTTTCAAAAACTATCATTTTTATTCAATAAAACAACAATTTCGTCGTTTTTTTTGTTTTTGAAAAGTTTAAAACTAATGATTCGTTCATTTTTTATAAAATAAAAAACCAAACAAAAAATTAGGTTTTTTAGCTCTGGAAGAAAATTGTACCATTCGCCATTCCCTCAGGTGGACACCATCGGAGAGAAATGGTTCACCGACAAAGGGTCAAACGACACAGGGTCAAACGACAAAGGGTCAAACGACACTAGGTCAAACGACAAAGGGTCAAAAGCGCGACAAAGGGTCAAAAAATGCGACAAAGGGGCAATTTATTTTAAAATTTTGACATCTGTTACAGTTAGTTATTTATTATTATTTAGGGATAGGTTAGGTTAAGACACTTTCTGGGCGAAGCGCTGCGGCTAGGACAAGCTAGGGTGCCAAGAGCTGCGGCCACGGGTTAGGTTGGTTAAGACACTTTCTGGGCCGAGCGCTGCGGCCACATGGTCAATTATATCAATGTCTAACATATAAGATCCATGTACAAAATTGATAGGAGGGTTGCGAGTTTCCTATGATTCAAATCAAAAAATATTTTTATCATTTTGACCTTTTGTCGTTTGACCCTTTGTCGTTTGACCCTTTGTCGTTTGACCCTTTGTCGTTTGACCCTGTGTCGTTTGACCTTTTGTCGGTGAATCGGGATGGTAATTAACACTTAGGACACTAATTACTCCACCGGAGGGATGGTAATGAACACTCAGGACACTAATTACTCCACCGGAGGGATGGTACTGAACACTCAGGACACTAATTACTCCACCAGAGGGATGCTGATTATCACTCAGGACACTAATTTTTCCAAGCTAGAGATGCTGATAACCACTCAGGACACTAATGACTCAACTGAAAGCACTAATTACTCCCACCGGAAAGATGCTGATAACCACTCAGGGCACTAATTACTCTTCTGGAGGGATGCTGCAAATCACCCTGAGCACACTTATTACTCCCATGGAGTAGTTAATGCCAAGAGTGAATTGTTGCATCCTTACGGGTTGAGTATTTAGAGTTCAAGTTTTTATTATGATAACTCCGGTGGAATCTGCTTTCCCTCTAGTGGCCTTTGGTCCACCTGAGGGAATGACAAATGCTACTAATTTCTTCCAAAACTCGCTTTTTTACAATTGTTATGAAAAACGATTACCAACCCCTGCACTGTACTAACCTAGGAATACGCTTGATATCGCATCATCTTTAATCGCCCAGACAATATCAATATCTTCCAGCTCGTATACTTCAACAATATTTATTCGATAAATAGTACTTTTTTAAAACAATTACTTTTCTTCTTGATTCATGGTTTTTAATTTCATCTTCGGGAATTTAATTTATTTAAAAATGTATTAATTTAATTTTAGCTAAGATAAAACTTACAATATAGAAGTCGTGAGGACGAACTCTAATAACGAGGCTGGTTGGTTCTATATCTATATATTTGATTCTATATATACAAAAAGCAGGACTGTAATCCTGGTAGGGAAAACACATGGATCGACTGAATATATTTGGTTTGGCTAGGCGGAACTCTTGAGACTTCTAGAGGTAGAAAATATCGTCTTCCATATTACCCCCCCCCCCCCAGCATAGAGGCCGGAGGTCAAGCGTAGAGAAGAAATTTTCTTATGAAAGTAGGGAGGTTCCTGAATCTAACAGATTTTCTTGCTCGAGGCGGAGCAACGGCGGAGACTTTCACTTTCCGAGGTCTTCCCTGAACCCTTGGCGGAGGAGGCAGAACCAGAGGTGGAGGACACTTTAGAGGACGTCCTCTTCGAGGTGGTTGAGCTGGAGCTTGATCATCTGATGTAATAGCAGGTTTTAGACGGTGTACCAAAACCACCTCTTCTCTGGGTCCAACCTGGAGCTTAAAGGTTCTTGGAGAACGAGCTAAAACTCTGTAAGGTCCAGCATAGAGAGGAGCTAGAGGCGGAACATGACCATCCTTCCTCACCAGAACCATTGAACAGGTTGACAGGGCTGCTGGAATAGTTTCAGGTAAATTAGAGGTTGGAGACATGTTATGACGGGCTGGTACAGGATGGAATTCAGACATTGATTTTCTGAGCTCTGCATAAAACTGGTTGGACGGAGGATCCTGTACTTCACTGAACTGATTAGGGAGGATTAAATCTGAACCATAGACAGATTCTGAGGCGGACGTGGCGGAATCTTCTCTAGGAGTAGAACGCAAACCTAGAAGAACTCAAGGAAGATGATCATACCAGTCCGCTGAGGCTAAACGAGCTCTAAGAAAATTTTTAAGCTGCCTGTGGAATCTTTCTATCATGCCATTGGCCTGAGGATGAAAAGCTGTGGTCGTAATATGGTTAATATTCAGTAGGGAACAGATATTAGACCACAGTGAAGAGGTGAACTGTGTTCCTCTATCACTCGTAACAATAGAAGGAACTCCGAAGCGTGAGATCCAACCGTGGAACAAGGCGGAGACACATTCCGCAATAGAGTTTCCAGTTGAAGGTATAACCTCTGGCCACCGTGTGGATCTATCTATGCAGGTCAAGAGGTAGGTATATCCATGAGATGAAGGTAGAGGTCCTACAAGATCTACATGAAAATGAGAGAATCTTCTAAAAGGAACTTCAATCTTCTCCGGGCGGAGGTGTACATGTTGAAGCACTTTACCACGTTGACAAGGTAGACAGGAAAGACAATAATCTCGTACATCATTAGCTAATCCGCGCCAGACAAAATCTTGAGGAGATGATTCGTCTAGTGGCCCGTATACCTGGATGTGATAAACAATGTAAGGCGGAGAAAATCTTGAATTTGTAAGATGACATAACAAGAGGGCGGAGCAATTTAGTTTTTGAATCACAAATTAAAGGCTTACCCTGAACCATTACTGTCACTAATTTTAGGGTTTTAGAATTCTGTAAGCAGAGCACATTTGGACAAGAAAATTGCTCTGCAGCTAACTCACTGAAATCAATACCTCCAGTGGAGGCTGGAAAAGGTGAGGGTAAGGAGGAGATCTTCTCAGGAATCTCCGACACCTCCAAACCTCCGACACCATGGCACCACGAGCAGGGAGAGGAGAAGGCGGAGAGATTCCTGACGAAGGAGAATGGGAGAGAGAGTATGCATAGACATTTGCAGCTCCAGGAGTATGGCGGATATCAGATGTAAACTCGGAGATGTATGCAAGTTGGCGTTGTTGGCGGGCGGACCAAGGTGGAGAAACTCTGCAGAGGGCTGAAACTAGGGGTAGATGATCAGTAATTACATGGAATTTGCGTCCTTCTAGCTCAAACCGGAAATGGTGGGGAGCCAGGAATACTCCTAAGAGTTCTCGATCAAAGGCGGAGTATCTTTGCTGCATCGCGGAGATTTTGGCGGAGGAGAAAGCTAAGGGTTTCCTGCAACCTGACTCTCGTTGTTGTAGAGCATCTCCTACGTGAGAGGCGGAAGCATCTGTAACCAAGGAAACTTCGGCAGATGCTGAAGGGTGGACGAGTGAGGTGGCGGAGGCTAGGGCGGATTTGGCTGTTTAAAAGGCAGTTTGGAGCTCAGGGGACCAGATGAGGATCTTTGGATTATCAACCAGAGCATCCATTAGGGGGCGGAGAATTTTGGCGATACCTGGGAGAAACCGGTTGTAGAAGTTAATCATTCCTAAAAATCTCTGCAAACCACGTACATCTTGAGGATGAGGTTGAAGGAGAAGAGCATCAACATTGGGGCGGAGAGGAACAATTCCATCAGAGGTTACCCTGTGACCAAGATATTCTATCTCCATCTGAGCAAAACTGCACTTATCCAGGTTATGAACTAGGCCATTCTGAACTAGGAGCTCGAGAACTAGCCGTAGATGTTCTAGGTGTGTTCGTCTATTGGTACTGGCCACCAAAACATCGTCTAAATAGACAAAAACAAAGGGTAAACCTCAAAAAATCCTATCCATGAGGTGCTGGAAAGTCTGAGCAGCATTCTTCAAACCAAGAGGCATGGAGAGGAATTCAAACAGGCCAAACAGGGTCACAATGGCGGTTTTACAGACATCGGCAGGGTCCATGGGTACTTGATGATAACCTTTCACTAGGTCCAGTTTTGAAAAAACCATACAACCTTTCAAATTGTTTGTAAAATCACGAAGGTTTGGTAACGGATATCTGTCAGGCCTTGTAACATTGTTCAATCGGCGGTAATCACCACAAGGTCGCCATGACCCATCAGGTTTCAGAACCATATGAAGAGGAGAAGCCCAGGGACTATCAGAACAGTGTATAATTCCAGCTGACTCCATCTTCTGAAATTCTGCTTTAGCAGCATTTAGCTTCACTTGGTCTAAACGGCGGGAATGGGCATACAGGGGTTGACCTTCCGTTTCAATCTTGTGTCTAACCTGATGACCTGGTAGTTGATCAGGGGGGCGAGGATTCCAGGCTGCAAGGAACTCGTGCAGAAGGGCGGAGACATCAGGAGCTAGCTTGGACATGAAGGCGATGGAAGAATCGGCAGTTGAAACAACTGGAGAAGAAGGAGGTTTCAAAGTTGAACCTTCCAGGACTTGACGCCTTGCTGGATCCACCAGGAGATCAAATTCTGCTAAAAAATCTGCTCCAAGAATAGGATTATCCATGAGGGCAAGCAAGAACGGGAACTGAAATCCGCGGTTTCCAAACTGTAGAGGGAGAGTTCTGCATCCATAAGATTTCGTCGGTCTGCCATCAGCCATTAGGAGACGAGGACCAGTCGGGGCTGCAGACGAGTGATGAGGAAAAACAGAACGAGAGGTCCAGTATCCACCAGGAACCGACGATTTGTTAAAACATCTTGTAGATAGATGAGCAAACTGCCAACGGGAAGGCTGTTTAATTCCTCCTCCTCCTGTCGGCTCTGGAGTTTCTCTGAAAACTGCATGGAGGACAGCAGTTATTTGCATTAGCACCAAATCTTTTGTGAAAATAACATTCCGCGGCGCTAGTAGGACCTGGGGTTTGGCTCCGACGAACAGGGGACGAACTTCCTCTTCCTCGAGAACGTGACGGGGAGTTGGAAGGAAAGGTTGCTGCAGCCAGTGGAGGATCATCGGGTTGAACCCTCCGAGCGTCCCATTGCTTATCTGCATGTAAAGCTAAATCACTGGGATTTTTAAAATCCTGAGCAACCAGGTGATCTCTCATCTCAACTGGTAAAAGTTCCAGAAATAATCTAAGGAACAAACTAACAGGGACTTCATCCTCGGGTAGGAGGGCAAGCATGGAGTCCATCATGGTGGTCGGACGGTGGTCCCCCAGGGCAGGATGATGGATCACTTTTGCTACTCTTTGCCATCTTGTAAGAGTATAAGACAAAACTAACTTGGCTTTGAGATCCTCGTAGGGACTAGTAGACAAGGACGTGGAGGGCATGATGAGGCTTCGGACGGAAACCGTGATTGCTTGAGGGAGTTTCGAATTTCGTCCGTGACTGAGTGATCTGAGCGTTTCAAAACGCGGACTCGGCGTGCGAGAATCATAGGTCAGGGTCTTCGGTCCAGAAATCCGGTTTGACGGCGATCTTACTGACAAATTCTGGAGTAATGGGATTTTGATCGGTCATGATGACGTTGGACGTAGATCTCACTGGGTCTAGATCACTGAATGTTCAAAGTAGGGGTCACCAATATAGAAGTCGTGAGGATGGACTCTAATAACGAGGCTGGTTGGTTCTATATCTATATATTTGATTCTATGTATACAAAAAGCAGGACTGTAATCCTGGTACGGAAAAACACATGGATCGACTGAATATATTTGGTTTGGCTCGGCGGAACTCTTGAGACTTCTAGAGGTGGAAAATATTGTCTTTCACAACAAAATTAATAATTTTTTAAAAAGAACTATTTTCGGATAACCCCTCTGTAATTATTTTATTTTATTAAAAATTTGCTAAGAAACAGTTTTAAAATGTAAAATATGTGTTAAAGAATAAAATCATTCCTAATTCTGTTGCAATTCCACCATTTCCAACCACTATTAGTCTTTTGGCTGAAGCTAACTTTTCCTGAAAAATCATTAATGTTAGAATAATCCTCCTTATATCAGGGTTATCAATTTTAATAAAAATAGATCTAGACTGTACTGTACTGTACTGTACTGTACTGTACTGTACTGTACTGTACTGTACTGCACTGCACTGCACTGCACTGCACTGCACTGCACTGCACTGCACTGCACTGCACTGTACTGTACCTGCAGAAGAAGTACTGATGCTGTATCCCGTATACCAAGAACATTAGGATGTTCTGAGATAAGTTTAGGACTTCCCCCAGCACACAAACATACCTTCCTGTATTCAATTTCTACTCCACTCTCTAAAATCAATTTTTAGAGATTGTCTTCATAACTTGATTTTCATGTCATTTGTAAAAAATATCTGAAGTATTGGATCTTTCTGGCTCTCAGGGACATCTTTGATAAGTAAGAATGACATTTATGCAAAACTTATGTCTAAAATGTTGATGACTATAAATAAATCTTCTGAAATTCATCTGTACTCTCCGACAAAAGAAACAATAAACAGTGAAACGTTTTACAAAGTGAAAGATTAAATCCATAAATAACTTTGCAATCCTTAGTAAATTCCACTAAAACAATCGGGTAGTCAGAAGTTTTTATAAATGTTTTAAACTACACTGCCAAACCCACAAACCCTTTATGAATCCATTTCACTCTGACACGAAAAACTAGTAACCTATTTTATCAAACATTTAACTAGATTACAACTATGTCATTTGTGTTTAGTAAACCTGTATTTTATTACAGGTTTGAAATACATCTATTAAATGATTATTGGAGACTACTGTGTCCGAGTTGAGGAGTCTAACCAACAAACCAACCTAACCAACAAACTAATTAACCAATTAACCAACCTACCTACCTAACATCCTAGGGTCGACCCCTCTCAAGTTCTTACAAATTTGTATTTTCAAATAAGAACATTTTAAGTAGAAAATTAAGTGAATCATTTTAGAATTCAGAAAAGTAAAAAAAAAATATTGTCTTTAATTTTGATCAAGAAGACTGCGTTGAAACGTTTTATAATTACCTAATATTACAGTTTTTGTCTGGGGCACTATTTTTATCACTTTTCCGTAGACAACTGAGAATAAATCAGTTTTAGCTAAAATAAATATCATGAGACCCTTTCAAGCAAATCAAATCAATCAGATAAATTTGTCTGTATTTACAATATTAACGGTAACCGATGTCTTCAAAATGACTTCAACAGTTGAGCTAAACAAACCAAAATTACAATTAAAATTATTATTTCTGAATTTTCATTTCAAAGGATATAGAACATTCCTCTTTATTTTCGGTAAGGCTCCCCTAAATAATTCAATTGGAGACCTCTGTACACAAAATTTGATTTGAATAATAAAATATATTTGTATCATGGGGTACAGACTTAGAGTCACACAGATGAGCATTCAAATCAAAGACAAGGAAAAATAGACAAATGGAAATCAAAATAAAATATGAATAAATTTGATAAAGTTTTCAAATAATTCTCCCTGAAATGCCAGTATGTTTCCTTCTCCATTCCTCTCCAGACGTTTCCTCAATCTAATAAAAATCGGGTTTCTCTCAATTCAAAATATTTTTCATATTTTTTTTCGTGAACTAATTTCAAGACATTTTGGGCTCCTTGACATTGTAAATTATTAACCAAGGATAGGTGGTGAAACTAGGGATAGTTAAACTGCTTGTTAGTGCCGCTGACACCAACTTGAACAAGCGTACGAAAATTAGTTTGACTAGCTGTACCCAGTTCAACTTCTTTATACGACATATAAATTGCCCTTGACAAAATCCCAAAAATTGGTTAGAGCATACATATAAATACAAATCCTGAAATGAAATACAATACAAAGGCTGACATATATTTCAATACAGTATCCGGTACTGAAATATTACATAATTGACCAATAATACCAATGAACTACAGGGTACTGAAATACTACATAATTGACCAATAATACCAATGAACTACAGGTTACTGAAATACTACATAATTGACCAATAATATCAATGAACTGCAGGGAACTGAAATACTACATAATTGACCAATAATACCAATGAACTACAGGGTAATGAAATACTACATAATTGACCAATAATACCAATGAACTACAGGGTACTGAAATACTACATAATTGACCAATAATACTAATAAACTACAGGGAACTAAAATACTACAATACTACATAATTGACCAATAATACCAATGAACTACAGGGAACTGAAATACTAATTAATTGACCAATAATACCAATGAACTACAGGGTACTGAAATTTTACAATACAAACCACTGTTTCAGTAACTGACTCTGTATTTATATATATATACGATAATCACTGTATGTATAATCCTAAAACGATGATTTGGATTTTGTAAGTTTTAAAATTACTATCATGTGTATTCAATATCATTAAGGCTGGTTAAGTCACCTGAAACTCAGTGATTAATTTTGTGATTTGATTAACGTTACTCACACTCTTCACTATTGCAGTTGCAGTCACTAAAATTTATCAATTCCATTATTTGACAAGTAATTAAAAATAGTTTCTTTATCAGATTTTGTATGCGAAGAAAACGGTATTTTAGCACAAAACTAGCAAGCACAGCACATTTTTAAAATAACAAATTCCTAATGTAATGTTTGCGTCAGGGTTCAGTGTGTACAACATTTCAGTACAGGAGACTCCAGCTATACCTCCTCCAACCACTAAATATATATATAACATATAAATAATAAATATACATATATCTATAAATATTAAAGGGAGTGTTCGCGAAAAATCAAAGGGGGTATAGGCTTAATGCGATAAAAAGGCGCTTTTGATCGCTACTAATCTTCTATCTGTTGCGTCTATAAGGAGAAAATTGTTTAAAACGACTCATACCGAAGAACGTAGAGTCCATACAAATTCAGAAAGATGCAACATTCAACTCGGATCGTAAACAAATCAATTTAATTCGAAAACAAATCATTCAGATATTACAAACAGAAGTAATCAATTATTTTTCGACGCATTCTTATATAGTTAATATTTCATAACCATTTTCTGTAATGTTTAAGCTACGTTGAAATTACATCAAATTCACTTGAAGGGTGAAAAAAAACACTTCACATTTTTTTCTCTCTCAAAGGCTTAATTATTATTCGATCATAATGAGTTTAATATCCCACTATTTCTAGGATATTTAGAATTTTGAGGAGGTAAAACTGAAGGACAGTTCAATTTCAGTAAGAACCAGAAAACTGTGGAAAAGGAAGACGACATTGACGCAATATAGTTTTTTCGCGGATTTTCCATCTTATTTCGTTAGCTTTTTAACGGTCATTCAATTAAATCGTTTGTTCTGTGAAATTGTTCGCCCAGTAAAAAAAACTACAGTTCTTTCAAAAGTTCGTTTGTTCATTAAAAACGTTTTTTTTTTCAAATGTTCTTTTTGTAAAAGCAATCGTTCGTTAACGATTTTGCTTATCAAAACTACGAACGATTGTTTTTCCATCTCTAATCAGGTCGAGAATGTACTTAACGATGTGGGACTAAAGAAGTCCAACTTGAAGTAGGTCTGAAGTTATTTAATTGATTTCTCATCTAAAAAACTGATAATATTTTGATTTGAGTACGCCTGGAAAGGAATGCAGTTTTAGAAATGAAAATTATGTTATGTAATGAGTAGCTATCCATGTCGCCTTAATTTGCATATCAGTAGAAACCTTAGTAGTTTTTTAACATAACTTTAAAGAACATCATTATTATATGCGTGTATGAATACTCCTTTTCGTTTCCCTGATTACTTTTCTAAACTTTAAAAGCAGATTTTTAAAAAATATTCTCATAAATCGGGGTTAAATGTTTTCTCCGAGCCAAACTATTTCTTTTAAGCTGATCAAAATTTGCAATATTATGCGAGACACCCTGTATTTACGCACCTAAATAGTCGGTCTTAAGTTTTTCGCTCATTTTATCTGAAAATATTATAAACACACTGGGGACGAAGCATTGAGTTCAGAATCAGTTTATTTCAGAAAATTTCAAGTTTAAACAGTATTGTACATAAAAAACAGTTTTCAGGGGATGTGAGGTACAAGAAGTTTTCAGAGAATGGGAGGGGAGGGGGAGGGGGGGGGGGTGAAAGAAGAACTCCCTGGTGTTGTGACAACTGGTAGTCAATGAAATATGCGTTGATAAATGAATAAATTACCGAAACCAATATTAGGTTTTACTTAGCATTTATATTTGCCAGATGTAACAACACTGCAGAGACATCCTGAACTAACATATGAAATCACAGGATACATATATGTTACATACTAAATCAAATTGTTATATTTTCAGAACTGGGATAGTTTTAAAATCTTCAATTTTTCTTTTCAAGCTGAAGTCCTTCTTTCATAGTTATACATCTTTATTTATACTGTATTTTTAAAATATATTTATATATTTTTATATATATTATAAATGTTTTCAAAAGTCATCCGGTTAAAAAAATAATTTTGGCGTTGGCGGAATGTTAAGTTGAAAATTAGGCCAAGTGCTTTCTGCCATTTTACAGTGCACTGTAAAATGTACATAATTGTACAATATAAAAAAGTACACTGGACAGTGTACAATATAGAAAGCACTAAACTGATAAAAACTTTATGAAAACTAAAATAAGCAAGATATGATTGCGTATAAACGCAACTTATTATAAATAAGTGGCCTCACACCGAAAAAAAACTTTTTACATACTTTCATGTTACCGTCATTGGCCTGAAACAGCTTACCCTTTTCTAGGCAAAATACAGGGGTGTAATCTTATCCTTTTTATAAACCTCTTTCAAACTTAAACTCTGTACAAGATGTAATGTTTAAAATGAAGGTTTAACAGGTTCGATTATGAATCAATGATGGCACTCTCTCATTGAAAGGTCACTCACAAGGTTTGTTCACAATCCCTTACTAGATTACATAAATAATTATGCATGAAAGTTTTAACTCTCTAATTATGCTTTAACCCACTCCAACTCAAAAAACTTTCGGTGATGTTATTTTTAAATGCTCTGGGACGGAAAGGACATTTGTCGTTCCAAAAAAAGCTAAAATTTAATAAATACTTTAATCAGTATGTATACTTCTTTTAAGTGATGAATCCTTAGCTTAGAAAATATATGAAAATTAATTTAAGATTTAAGTTTAACGTTTTAAAAATTTAAATAACCACCACAATCAACTAAAATATTAGAAAATATGACATTAAAATGAAGATGGTTTGGACCCTATCCCTTGTAAAAAAGATATTAATTAGAGGTTCAGTTCTCACTTCGATATACTCGAAGATGTTTTAGAATTAGAACTGGCATCCCTCCCTCGTTTCGACTGGTTTAGTCGGAACTGTTGCCCCTCCTCGTGTTGAATTAGAACTGGTATCCCTCCCTCATATTGAATTAGATCGGGTATCCCTCCCTCGTGTTGAATTAGAACGGGTATCCCTCCCTCGTAGTGAATTAGAACGGGTATCCCTCCCTCGTGTTGAACTAGAACTGCTTTCCCTCCCTTGTCTAGAATTGGACCCATTCCCCGCTCTGCTTGGCGTCTGTATCTGCGCTAGCAAAATCCCCCCAAGGATCATCTTGGGCCAGGGTTGCAGGGTTGGAGGGAGCAGAGCCTGAACAAATAATTAATCAAATAATTTATCAATCAATCAATCTAATTAAACAATAATACAAATAACTAAATTATTAGTAATTTAACCAATTAGTTAATTAAGTTAATCATTCAACTGTTCAATTAAAGAACTAATCAATCAACTAATCATTCAATTAATCTATTAACTAATCATTCAACTGATCAATCAAATGATCAATCAACTGTTTATCAACCAACCAACTGTTTATCAACCAACCAACTGTTTATTAACCAACCAACCAACCAACCAACCAACCACCACAAAACCACACAACCCACTGACCAAGTTTCATATCTCCGAAGTCTGCTAGTAAATCCAGATTGTTGTTGAGGGGTGTGGCAGGATTAGAGGGCGGTCCACCAGAAATCTGAACAAGAAAAAACTTAAAAATTATCATAAATTAATCCGGGGTTATGTTTTTGATAAATTACATAACTTGTTAGGGAAATATTATTATAAAAAACAAAGAGAATACCCTTTTTTCATTCTTTTTGCTAATTAAAAATTTTTCGTGAAAATGGCATAAAAAAAATAAAAATAGTACAGTTTGTCAGTATCGAATTTTCTCCATTATAACTTGGAAATCCTAAAATATTCTGGCACTTCTCAAAAACTGAAATACCAAAGAAAACAACAAAATCATTTCTAAGAATTCTCTAATCATAGTTCAATGTATTCTGCAAAGTACCTGTTCAGACTTTTTTCCTGGCTTTTGATACTTTTTTTTACGTTATTACCCTTTATGTTCCAAAGTAAGTACGATGTGAAGTGTGTACTTTTAAATTTAGTTCTGGAAGGGGGTAAGGCTTCTTAGGTAGTTGGAACTACTGTTGCAATTTCACTTTTTGTGCCCTTTACAAAGGAAAAATGTACGTTTTTATTTTGAAGAATATATTACAAACCAGTGCTTAGAATCCGAATCGGTTGGATCCGCAAGATTTTGACTTCCTGGATCCAAAAATATGCGGATCCACGGATCCGGATCCAAGGGGTAAAATATCAACCAAAAACTGAAACAAAAAATCATTTTTAATCCAAAACTCAAATCTGAACTTTTAAAAGAGAGATTATAAAATTTTCCTCATTTCTGACTGGTTCATCGAGTTTTTGGATAAAAATAAGTGAAAAAAATAAAACAAAAAATTTGAAAATTATTTTTGTTAAATAAATTCAGTAAATCTTAAAGAAATGACCTTTATCTGGATCCGGATCCATTTTTTTCCAGTGCGGATCCAGGATCCGGATCCGGATCCGCATCAAAATCAAATGGATCCTAAGCACTGTTACAAACAATACTGAATTAATATTTGATCATACTCATTTGTGTGAAGTGTTTTTAACGCAGTTTATAGCTTATTTTTCAACAGTTTTTGGTCGTCTTTTATCTAACAAATTGATCTTATCTTCTCATCTTCAAAACCGGATTAGTAAATATATACTACCTAGTATTTTCTAGAGACTGAAGAAAGGGATAGATAGATATTTTGGAGTACAAGAAAGTCTAAGGTCTGGTTTAAGACTTAATACAGGGTGTCCCAAAATTCAAGACTAAAATGGCTTTAACCTGTTTGTTGCATGAATGTAGATATGAAGAAACTAAATTTTTGATAAACAATTAGAAAGAGAACTAAAAGTATTTTCTGATAAATAAAAATGCATTAGGCCCTTAAATAATCGTTCATCACGATCTTTTCTTTTAAATTACCGAAGGATAAAATTATCTTCAAATCCTATATTTTCTTGACGCCCAATATGATTTGTTTATTTACTGTCTGTCTCCGTGTACTGCATACTCCAAAAATCAAGTTTCAACTTGATGTATAACAAGTTGCAATTATAATGTTTAGAATGAATACAATGCACAGATTTTTTAACTAAATGGATTACCTAGGCTTTAAGGGTTTTGTTTTCTCCTTATCAGGGTTATTAATATCCCTGATATTAACCTTAATAGTCTGCCCTTCCTTAAACGCTAGGTCTAACAGAGGTCCAGGAGACTTATCCTCCTACAATATTAAGTATAAAAGGTCCAGGGGAATTATTTACTGCAATATTAAGTATACAAGGTCCAGGAGACTTATCCTCCTACAATATTAAGTATAAAAGGTCCAGGAGACTTATCCTCCTACAATATTAAGTATAAAAGGTCCAGGGGAATTATTTACTGCAATATTAAGTATACAAGGTCCAGGAGACTTATCCTCCAGCAATATTAAGTATATAAGGTCCAGGAGACTTATCCTCCTGCAATATTAAGTATATAAGGTCCAGGAGACATATCCTCCTATAATATTAAGTATATAAGGTCCAGGAGACATATCCTCCTATAATATTAAGTATACAAGGTCCAGGAGACATATCCTCCTATAATATTAAGTATATAAGGTCAAAGGAGACTTATCCTACAATATTAAGAATATAAGGTCCAGGAGACTAATCCTACAATATTAAGAATATAAGGTCCAGGGGAATTATTTACGACAATATTAAGAATATAAGGTCCAGGGGAATTATTTACTACAATATTAAGAATATAAGGTCAAGGATACTTATTCTCCTGCCATATTAAGTATATAAAATGCAGGAATACTGAGTATATAAGGTTCAGGAGACTTATCCTTCTGCAATATTCAGTTTAAGTACATAAGGTGCATGGGAGTTATTTACTACAATGTTAAGTATATAAGGTCTAGGAGACATATCCTCCTACATTACCAAGTATATAAGGTCAAGGGGACTTATCCTCCTACAATATCAAGTATATAAGGTCAAGGGGACTTATCCTACTAAAATATTACAGAGGATATTAGTTCCAAAACTAACACTTGGCCCATTACTAACACTGAGTGTTAGAAATGTATATAATATATCTTTAAATCCAAGTCGAGTAGAACAAAATTACACCATATATTTATATAAAATGGCTAAAACTATATATATTAAAACATTAATTGTCAATTTTAAACTAATAATAAGGTGTGAGAATTAGTTTTTGATTATTCTTGATTTTCGGAACATATCCCTATTTTGAAACAACTACCGGATTTCGACTCATGTCGCATTTTCGGAACATATCCTGGTTTTAAGACAATAACCCGATTTCAGCTCATGTCGTGTTTTCGGAACATATCCTGGTTTTGATACAATTACCGGAATTCATGTCAATGTCAATTTTCAAGTATTTACGCACTTATGAAACAAAACAAATTTTTTTGATAAGGTAAAATATAATCAAAATAGAAAATAAAAACAAACTGTTCTTTTTTAATTTAAAAATCATCACAGCATTGAAAAATCAAAATATTAATATCATTTGTTCTTACAATATAGATTTAACTAGAAATGCGGGAAACTGTTTGTTTAAAATGCTTGAAAATAAATCATCCATATTCTCTAATTTAACAGATAAAATGTGGAAACTTAGATTCATAGGATAATTTTTGTTTTCAGTGATTTATTTTGTAAGTTATGAAAGTTAGTTTTCATTTGATTTGTGGATTATACTCAAAAACGGGAAAGTGGGGTTTGTCTCGAAATGTTTCAAATTCAGGATAAGTTCGAAAATGGAAAACCTAACATTGTCTTGAAAGCAGTAAAGAGCTTTAAAATGAAATAACTCCTATTATAATTTTGATTTAAAAAAAAAATATAAAAAATTTAAGAACCAGCAGAGTAATCCACTGGAAAAAATTATTCTCGAAAATTTGGGAAATGAAATATTGTAATGATTTCCTTTGCTTTTTGATAATTTTTCCAAAAATCCCTTTTTCTATAGAACTATGTATTTACTATGTATTCTATGCAGCGTGCCTGATCTCTTATACCTGTAATATTTTATCCTCATTCTTGATAAGCTTGAAATGATCTTGCAAAGCAACATTTAAATCAAAACTGTCCGATCTTAAAAATGTATTATTAAGAATTAATGCTTAATTGAAATGTTAACAACGAAACAATATTCAAAAATTTCTTACTTTTTCATGCAATTAAATAAAAAACGATTGTTGTGAATTTTTTTCTCAAAATGGCAAAAGGCAGAGCTATATTATAAATCATTGCCCATGTTACTACTTAAGAATAAAGAAGTAATATGAGAAAAAACTTAAATACCATAATATAAGACAAAGAACATATAAAAAGTGATTTAATGTAAATAAAATAATCCAACGGTTTGTTTGATAAAATTTAGGTTTAAAGGGACTTCATCTAAAAAGTTGCAAAGGTACCCCTTAACCATTCTTCTGTGCAAAACTGACGAAGATATTTTTTGCTTGTAAAAGTGGCCTGTGTAATGTGTAATATGTATGCAACATAGAGAAAGAAAAAAATTGACAGAATTAAACGTTATTTTACTTATCCTTGCTCAGATACCGGTGAAAAAGGCATGATACATTTATATATAATGAGCCACTTAAAATTATGTCGGCTTGTGTCTTAGTTTAAGAAAAAAAGGGGCGTTGAAGTCACCTGTCCGCGAACCCCATCCCTATAAATGCATTCTGCTTTGTCACATCATTAACAATCCTGAATATACGACATCAATCAATCAATCAATCAATCAATCAATCAATCAATCAATCAATCAATCAATCAATCAATCAATCAATCTATCTATATATCTATCAACCATCCAATCAACCAACAAATCAATATACCTATTAATCAACCAACCAATCAACCAACTAACCAACCAATCAACTATTTAATCAANAACCAACCAACCAACTAACCAACTAACCAACCAAACAACCTACCTACCAATCAACCAACCAAACAACAAATCAACCTACCTATTAATCAACCAACCAATCAATCAACCAACCAATCAACCAATCAATCAACAATTTAAACTAAAACTAATCAATAACAAGATTTAAACTAAAAGATTGCAGATTAACAGTAAAAAAGGTGAAAGGATAATTACCTTATCACAAAGTATCTTGAACTGTCAGTCACAGCCTCTAAAGCATATCATAATATTAAATCTATATCTCATAATTTTAGTCTATTTTTCTGGTTCTTTGAGAACGTCAAATTTTATCTAAAGATTGCGCCACCAATAGTTCTCACTAAAAAAAAAAAAATATTTTATAAACTCGTCAACAAAAAGAGAATAATCATCAAATGCAATTTTTGCAATAATTCCAATGTTTTTTTTTTAATTCCAGAATTTACATTTGGACATGATATCAATATGTATCTATAGGACAAGCTGCAAACAAATCATTACTCCCTCTGTCCTCTAGCTTGAGGACTACAGTTTTACTTTTCTCCATTACTCTCATTCTAGAAAAAAAATAATTATGTGAATAAATCGATTTTAATCTTTTAGACTAAAAAACCTAACAGTGGTAACCAGAAAACAAACAAAATCTATTTATATTTCGATCTTTATTTTTATTAAGATATGTCGAAACGACATATTCTGTAAAAACTTAAGCGACTGCTCAAACGAAAAAGAAAAAATACAACTTTTGTTTTACGTTTTTGCGGTTCCACTGTAATACAATTTTAATTTACGGTTTAAGAAGGGATTTATTAAGACATCTTTAAGGGTATATAGATCTAAAACAGAAAGTAAGTACTCCCCCCCCCCTCTACTTGCCTGCCTGTCCAATCTGGAGCAGCAAGATTCCAATCCGCTGCTCTGTAACCTCGGGCACTTTGTCGTGGAGGAATTTTATAAACATGAACCTTAACAAATAGCAGGGTTAAATATATCTTCCTCACAAAGAAAAATTAGTTAAATATGTCTTCCCCACAAAGAAATATTATATTTAAATATTTAAAACACTTTTTACTCGAAAATATTCTTAAAAATCTTGGAATTAATATAAAAAATGGAGGGAGGGGAGAGGGTTATTTATAGTCAATAAAAATACCCAGCATAGCATTATTTCCGGCGACGTACTCTAAAGCGACTTTCTGTTTGCATACATTGAAGAAAAGAAAGTGACCCCATTTACTCAATTTAAAGTGAATCCACTTAAGTACTTAACAACGTGACTCGGTAATGTTGATCCGCTCTACTACCCATCCGTCCTATTGCCCATCTGACCTACTCCAACATCTGACCTACGACAGCTGTAGGTCGGATGGGCATATCTTCTTGCCCATCTGACCTATTCAGCAGCTTGTCATGGCTATAGCTCGAGAGAGAAATAATTAATTGTAGCTGTCGGATGGCCACTCAATTTTGTAGGTCAGATGGGCACTTTTTGTAGGCCGGATGGGCATTTTTCGTAGGTCGGATGGGCACTTTTCGTAGGTCGGATGGGCACTTTTCGTAGGTCGGATGGGCACTTTTCGTAGGTCGGATGGGCATTTTTCGTAGGTCGGATGGGCACTTTTTGTAGGTCGGATGGGCATTTTTCGTAGGTCGGATGGGCACTTTT